GTTTTACTAAAAATTGACCCCATTAAAAACGGTTAGAGGTTGTTTGGTACATTGTATTCTTACAAGTTAAATAAGTAGTCTAACAACTCCAAATATGATTAGGATTGATGACTGCCATTTATCACTTGCACAATATCAATGTAAAATTTTCATTTAATAATAAATATAATTATTTATGTTAAATATATAGTTAGTAATGATATATTTCTTGAATATTTTTTTCATGTTCATAATATAAAATAATTATTTAAATCTTTTTTTTTTCACTTTCTTAACTCGTCTTAATTAGGTTCAACCTCAACTGAGACAAATATTGGATATGTTTAGCTGTTCACCCATAAAACCGAATTGGGTGTGAACTTATGTCTGAAAATAAAATTTTACTGTATAATTACTATATACTATTTTAGTATTTAGGTACTATTTACACTGGGTACTAGAAGAGAAAAAGAATTTTTCTATTTCAAAAATCGCTGTCTTTGTAATATTTTTATTATAAAAATAAACAGAAGAAGTATATCACATGTAGAACAAATTTAAATTCGCTTGAGATTTTTAGTTTTCTTTTTTTATGCTCAAAATTCTTTTTGCCGTGGGGTATGTAATGTCAATACTTTACGTTTCCGTTAAAGTTTAAAGCATCAACAGTAATAGTAGAATATAACTTTTATAGGCCGCTTAAAAGCGCTCTCTGAACATTTTTAAAAATTGAGTTTTTTACAATTCAACATGTAAAACCTGTGATTACAAAATAAAATCATAATTCTAAAAAAAAAGTAATTTCTAGTGATTATTTATTTGAGTTGCTCGTTTGATATCTGAAAACTTTTTTTAAATGAAAATTATGTGCTAAAAGCTTCATTATTACCCATGGATTTTATTAGTTTATCAAATTCCTACGATAAAGCAGAAAAATAGATCTTCTGATCATTAAAAAGAGCAAATACTCAATATACTCGTTAATATGTAAATTTCTCTCGTGAAAAATTTATATTTGTAAGGATCAAATATGTTCATTTTGTTCAATAAAGTTTTTTTTCATTAAAATTTTCACGGATTTTACCTACTTTATTGAAGTATGTATTTATTTTGTTTTTAATACTGGATTAATATTTCATGACTTAATCAATAATTAATTTTCAATTCTTTTCCACTTGATAAAAAATGCTGAAAAACGACATGTTATCTGTTCTCCAATATTTCGATTTCGGTTATTACGTTTTTTGATATTTCGAAATCGATAACATATATAAAAAATACAAACGTAAAAAAAGAATGGACATTAAATTGTTGAAAAATAAAAATTAAAGTAAAGGAAGATAATTAAAAAATTTTTAATTAAAATAATAAGAATCGTATTTTTTATGAAGTCAAAATAGTCTCCAAATACTTATAACTATAATTATGACTTTAAAATCTAGTTCTCAGAGGAAGAATCGTTAAATTTAAAACGAATCAGATCTGATTAAATCCAATAAAATTAGTATTATAGAATTCTTACATACGAAGCGATCTAGTTCAGATCTAAGATCAAATTTTGATTGAATCTAGTTGTACCCGATAAAATTTAATTAGATCTAAGGTCTTTCGAGTTCAAATCTGATTAAATTCAATTGTATTAAATCTGTCTTAAATTGATAAGATGTAATCAGATTTGATTAAATTTGTGACAATGTGTCCCTAGATTTGATCAGATTGAATTTAGTTAAACAAAAATTAGTTGTTTAATCAAATTAAATCTCGTTAAATTAAAAAATTTTTATAATATTAATTTAACTTGATTTGACTCGATCTCATTAGATTTAAAAATTTCCTAAGACTGTGAAAACTTTTAATTTTGTATTTTTTCATCTGAAGTATAATTATTTTTCTGTTTATTTCATTAATATTGATTAAAGTCTAATTATGATTGTTATTCATCAAATAATATTAAACAGCAATAATTACCTGATTGAAAATAAATAGGCCCAAAAAAGCCCAAAATGAAAAATAAGCCCAATACAGGCCCGATTGAAGCCTAATCTTGACTTAGAGAAATTTTCAGTGCCCAAAATAAGCCCATTACAGGCCTAAATTTTGAAGGAGCCCAATTCAAGCCCATTTTCTAAGATCACATTCGACAATGATGACAATAAATTATTACAAATGTAAATTTGTAGCACCGAAAGTTAATTTGATGATAAGTTTTTATGAGAATTTTTTTTTTTTTCTAGATGTTTATGATATTTTTGGGCTTCGATTAGGCGTGTTTTAGGCCTTGAAAATATTTTTGGGCGTGTTTTAAGCCTGCAAAATAGTTTTAGGCTTGATTTGGGCGCGTTGTGGGCCTGGAAAAGAATTGTGGACTTGAATTGGGCGCGTTGAGAGCCTGAAAAATCATTTAGGCTCGAATTGGGTCTGCTTTAGGTGCGCCCAAAAACTGATCATTTTTACTCGGGATATCACAAAAAAAGATGGACTTTGAACCATCTTAAGCGATTTTAAATTTGAAGAACTATTTTTTACAATAAATTAATTATATTCACTAATTACGAGTAAATAAATTATAAACATTCAATTCAACAAATAAGAAAAGTTATTTTCATTACTTCCCGCAAAAAGAACTAGAACTACAATAAACATGGATGTTCATCAGATCACTCATTTTCTTATAAAAAAGCACTCGACATTTTTCTTTTCTATTGGAATGATATCAAATAGATGACTAATGGTTTCTTTTCATGAACGTGCTATCTATTTTTGATTCTGTGGTATGAACTCAATACCTGGGGAAAACAACTCTTATGACATAACAATAACCGTAAACATTGATAAATTAAAAGTCCCTTAACCTTTGTTAATTTACGATGATGATAATAATAATAATATTATTAACATGTGTAGAACAGATTAAATGTAATATGATGAAATATTGGAGCTACTTGCTAGAAACTTTTAGAGTATACACAAGCTGTTAGTGCAATATCGTAACATAAGGAGCGTGCTATTTATTTGTAAAAAATGGAATATATTAATTTTAAATTTTTTGTAACGATGAAATAATTGCAAAAAAAGCTTATAAAAAATGTTAACTTGAAATAGATTGTTCTTTAAACTTATACAATAGATCATTATAACAAAATAATATCGTTTACACAAAATCCAATAAATTTTCACATAAACAATAAATGTCGTTCAAATTGTTAAATACTTTTATTAATCATGAAGCTTTTGAATTAAATTAAACAATAGAATAACTATGAATTGAAATAAATTTAACAAAAGACTTAGAGATAATAATATAAATATACATATTTTTTTGGTTGCACAAAGAGAAAGTTGTTCACTCTTATGGTTTGTCATTTAATCAAGAGGTTCAATCTACGTTTACATTTCCAAGGGTTTTACGATGTTTAGTTATATTCCTTTTTGTGACGCGTTTACGCACATACAAGAAAATTGGATTTTCAACGATTCTCTCGTGAATTTGAATGAGGATTTGTAAAATTCAGATATATATCGATTAACAACTTTTTTAATTGCTAGAATATTTGAGTTAGATACGGTATTAAGTAGTTTGACATTAATAAGGGATTGATCAAAAATTTTTTAAAGTCAAGATAGATCACTTGACTTGGTTTTCTCATGACTGAACACGCGTTTATTTGAACTACTGGATCGAAGAGAGGTAGTGTAAGCGACGGCGCATCGACCGGGTGAGGCTGTTACAGCTAAACGAGACCGAGTAGTTCGTTCTGAAGCGACGCTTTAATAGATATATTTCAATGTACGGATGACGCTATCTCTCTTTGTACAAACCGCGAAAAATATTAACCAATACCTCGTTCACTTGAATTGCTCGATAACGTAACTGTAGTTTTGTTAGATCTTTTAAATTAAACAGTGTAATATTCACATAAATAAATTTTCTTATTAAATATTGATATTATTAAATAAAAACAGACAAAAATAAAAATATATTGGCCACTTGAATTTAAAAATTTTCAGCTTTACTATCTGCTATCAAGTGATAAAGATATATTCATAATTTTTCTGTCGTTCGTGTTTAATTAAATTATTAAATCAAGAATAATATGGAAATTACAACTTGATAATTTTTTATTTACATTTTGAATAAATTAAAAAATTATGCAACAATCAATAATTACGTTTAATAATTCTCAATTATCGACCAACGTAATTTAATGTATCAAATACTAAAAGCAATTTAATAATAATCAATTGTGAATGTAATAAAAGCATGAATCATTATTGCGTTAGAGTTGAATTATAAATATAACAAAAACGTGGGTCATTTTATAGAAACGAGTCTATGATCACTGGAATAACTAGCCCGCATGTTTCGACTTACATTTTAGGAGCCACGACCTGCCTCCGGGTCGTCCGCTAAAATTCCGGCATTATTACTACCCGTTCTCCTCGTCAGACAGCCAAGTACTGTTATAAAGGAGACCAGAAGAGAAGCGAGAGTGAGTGAGAAAGGAAGAGACTTGGCGGTGCACCGACACCACTATATAGCACCATCTTCACTAACTCAACCCCACACCCCCTCACCACTACCAGCATCTTTCTCACCAACTTTAACCACCATGCTCGACACACCCTTTACGCGCTGCTGCGGTATATAGTGCAATTGTAAGAGTCACAGAAACTCCACAGCACACTTTGTCTATCCTGCAACATAAGAACTTTGGATTTTTGTTACTAAAACTGACGGACCAAATTATTTTTTGCCTTGAAAGTTCATCGTCAATGTAAAATCACTCAGTGCACTGGTCTGTAATCACTGGATCATAAGCAAAAGCTTCGCAAGACGAAAAAAGATGGATTTCTTTGAAAGAAGTTCTTTACTTAAAAGTCAGTGGACCATGGCAACAATATTGAAGAAAGACTTTAGAGAGATAAAACCACCGGAAATTTAATAAACGAATTTTGAGGTCATACTTAAACAAAAATGATCTGCTATTCTAAAAATGAATAAAACCAATGAATCGACTTACCACATCGATGAGCTGTGAAAGTTTAAGCTTAATGCACACTCGTAAGACATCCGACGTGTTGACCACTGGACGTACTAGTTTGTTGTAGTTAGACAATAAGTCATCATAAAGACGTTTTGCATCTGGATTACCTGCTACTGCACCGTGAACCATCAATGCGGATAATAACCAGACACGCAGGGTTTCCCCAATTATAGGGGGCATCGTGGACCCGCTTTGCCCCCACTGTGGCCGTATATCAATCTCTCTTTAACGCACCACTGATGTATTGTATCTGTTCTGATTAAAAAAAAATTTTTATAACATTTTATTTTCAATATGTAACAGTGATAACACAATGTTAAAATAATAATAACAATTCTGCAGACTAATATTTATGTGAAATAAAGTCATTACAGAGACATATGATGAGGAATTTTTTTAATATGGATCTTTTTGTTTGTACTTGAGTATACGAACACGAATAAATGATCTCCCTATTCAACCGCTTTATTCGTTCTCCTTTCCATGAGAATTACTTCTAAAGTGTAGCGTACGAGCCCTTAGATGGCAGAAAAAAAACTGTAGTTATGAAAAAAGATGAAACTTCAGTCATAGGTTGAAGAAAAAAACTCAACTACTTTTCGTTACGAATATACAATTAGAGTATTTTTTTTTGTCAGGTCGGTAATCTAATGAGTTTCAGAATTTAAATAAAATGCTTACTGAGCAAAATAAAACTCGGAAACATTTTCGTTAAAGATATGAAGACGTAATTTTCAATAGATAAACGCATGATCAGCATCGTAAGAGATTTAAAGATAACTATGAAATCGTTTGGACTAAAGTTTACTATTAGTTTAGAAATTGCAGAATCTTCTATCAAAAACTTCTCAAACGGATGCTACCTCTAGATATGGGAGAGAACTTCTCTAAATACAGAAACGTTTAAGTCCTTGATACTGAATATTTATCAAAAATTTAACGTTTTATTTACCTTTTATAGATAATTGTTAAAAAAAATTCAATTAATTTTTTTAATTGAATATTTAAAGAAATAATTAGAAACACGATGCTTCCAAAGAACTTTTGTATTTTCTGTACTTTGTAAATTATCAAATTCGTTTAAGAAGATTAAGTAAATGGCTTTTCACTTGTTTCAGTGATTGAGATTAATCTGAATGCTCTAACTTGTCCTGGTAGGTGGAATTTGCAAGTTTTACTTCAAGTTAGTCTGTTACTCGCATGGTGAGTAAATGGTCTCAAACGCGCGAATGCATTGATCCATGGGTTTATATTAATCGATTGATTACCCAACCGTATTGAGATATGATCGATGATGTTCAAGATAATTTATGTAAAGTCCAAGGTACTTGATCCTATCGAATAAATATTTATATTCCAAACTAGTGATTAAAAAGTAATGAAACCTCATTTATGAATATATGAAAAATTCAGCAAATGACAATGGTAGATGTTAATGTGGACATGAAGCAATGTTTTAAAAAAGAAAAAAATAAAAGTAAATAATTTTGAATAAATGATTAATAGTAAAAAGTTATTGCCTTGAAGCTTAATTTCTAGACAATTCGTCAATCACTGACCTAACCTCACGCACTTTTCAATCCACGCCGTTATCAAAGCAGCTCACGTAACTGCTGCTTTTACACGCACTTCACTCACGACTGCTCACGACTGAGGGGTTGAGACCGCCAAGCGAGTCTTCTTGGCTTTCCTCACAAGAAGGCGCCACTGTGCGAACACATATACAATCAACGCTACTTTGTGTAACCAGGGGGTGGTTCAGTGGAGAAAAACTGGGGGTAGTGTAGGGTGAGCAGAGAAACGAGATATTCTCTGGATCGTAGATGCGCACGCATACTCTGTGATGATGACGTCTTGTAGCACAACGAGACATAAAACAGAAGCCGCTGAGGTGCGGTGGAAAGGCGTTGATGCTACTTACTACTTTATGCTTAAGTGTTTGAGAGATTACAATTATTACTTGATCATTATCACCACCACTAGATGGTTTAATTTTTTTATATTATTTAATTAATATTAATTTAAAGAGAATAGTTAATTTTTTATCGGATTAGAAAACTGTTAATACGTTAATAAAGAAATCACTTATTTTTGTATTTTCATTGTGAAAATCCTTAAGATCAATATGTACCTCAATACTTAGTGTTAATTCCCATGAGCTTTTCATGTTAGTTCTCTCTTAGATGAGAATTGGAGAACTATTCCCTCATACTCGTCAGGACAATCACTTGTGATTAAGTTTTTCTTACAGCCATATATAGAGAAGTTTACCTAACGTATAATCCAGGTATACAGTACTCTCAGAAACTTTTCGAGACGCACACTTCCCGAGTAGAATGATAAATTGGAGTTTGTGAAAAAAAAGAACGTTACTGAACACGCTGGAAAAAAGTTTAACCAAGTCCGTGACTGTTGCAAAGCCTTTCGACAACTCTAGATTGGAGTTGAACAAAAGTGACCTATATTATCCGGAATTATCAATGGAGGATAAAAAAAATAAAATTCGATTTTACATGTTTTTCCTTTTACTTTTTCAGACAAGAGCATCTTACTCAATCGATAGTGCGCTTCTTAAATCTTTTTTTGAATAAAGTAGAGTGATTCCGCGTCACTGGAAATTATCTCGGACGTTGTAGATATTGGCTTGCTTGTGGAAAACAAAAAAAAACGGGGAGTACAAAAGAGTGATAGTTACATGTATCTGGATACTACAGACTATCTGGAACGAAGAAGAGGAGAGAACAAGAAACAGTAGATTGGTGCAAGTAAGAGGAAATGATCAAGGCACGTTCCGCATTCTGTCTCAGGACGAAATCCGAGATTAACGACGTCCATTAATCTCGTTTTACCGGATGACTTCACTACGATCGCGTTGATCGTCGTTCAGAGACAATTTCCAAGAGAATCTGAGAGCATTTGACTTAAGCTCAGTCAACACGCTATGTTTTTTTTTCTCTATTTACAATATATACCTATATTTCATTACTCTAAAACTTTTACTGCATTTTATTATTTCAAAAGTAGTTAAAGTTCTTTTTAAAGATCGAATTTTCTAAGATATTCAAAGTGGGGCTGATTTATTATTGGTATTTCCACTTAAATATCCAGTTCTCGCTTTCTCTAGTATCTTGGAAGTACATTTAATTCAGTGATAGTATGATTTTGTCAACGTCGGCGACCCTGAGGGAAAACTGGCACGGATTTACGCCAGACTGGACCTTGGAGAAAGATTGTGGGTCGAGTAGCTACGATGAATGCAAAGGAAATTTGAAAGGGATGAGGTGTAATATTGAGAAGAACTTGGCAACCTACCAATAATCTTCTCGGATCAGCACTACTCAACACGACCTGTCACGTATATTTTTGTCTGATGCTTTCAACCTATTTGCACTTTGTTTTCTTTTCGCATTTGGTTTGTTTGTATCCAACACCAATCTAACAATATTATAAGTTATCTATTTCTTATTCGCATCCACAAAATTACAAGTTAATTTTATTGTATAAATGATTAAAATAACTGATTTTTTATAATTTATCAATTATATAATAAATATAATATTATAAATATTATATTCTATAATTAAATATTATAATATATTAATATTATAAATTGAATTGAATAATAATAATGATAATAATAATACAAAATAGAAATGAATTTTATAAACTTATAAAGGGTAAAGAAAAATGCTTCTTCTTATTCATTTTTTTATTAATACTATTTTTTTAAATGCGAGGTGAAAATACCATCAATCATCGGAGAGTGGTGCATCGAACGATTAATGATTGAATACTATTTACTTACTCAGACGTATGAGTTCAAAAGCTCTTGAGTGTTATAGAAAAATATAAAGTCACTGTATAAGAGAAACTTCTCCTTACTTCTTCAAACTTCTATTCTAATCGATAAAATTAATCAAATATTGAAATATTCTGAGTAATTTGTTTGTCATTCTAATCATTAATATTATTTCTATAACTCGGTTTTGACATAAAGATTCACTAACTTCAGTTGTTTCAAACTCAATTGATTTATCTGATTGTACCCATAAAATTGACAGCATCATAATTGCAATCACTTTAACTGTTTTAAAATTATACGAATAAATTTAATAATCTTTTATTTACGAAAGGATAGTTTTTGTTAATGGCTCGAGAATAGGGCAATCGATTGGATCCAAAATTTATTAAGTTCTCGAGTACGATGAGACAAATCGATTGAGTGTGCAACGAATATAATCTAAGTTAAAAAAGTTGGATACTAAAATAAAACCACTAGCTTGTCGATTTACTTAAAATTAAAACATTAAAATTCTTGCAAAAATTTGAACAAGTATTATACTCTATTGTGACATAATGACTGACAGAAAATATTCACTTGTCTCCATTAAATTGTAGAAAAATATGTTCAAGTAGAAACGTCAGTCTGAATAAGGAAACGGAGTGAAGTAATGGACTATTTCGGCATATTTCAATTCGGAATTTTATAAACAGCTCTTCTCTTCAAAAATGGATTTCCGTCAAGAAACTACTTTACTATATACCCATAGATTAAAATAATTAATCAACTCCAATAAAATTCGAAACTGGTCACTGAGATGTGATTTCTAAAGTTATTGAAGCATGTCATCATTTTCAATGGTATAGTAAAATATTATAATACAAGAGTTCAAAGCTTTCAGTCTTTTTCCCTTTTTCTTTCACACAATTACCAAGTCCATGATGAATATCCGCCAAGATGTTTTATTAGAATTAAAACTTGAGAAATTGATGAAATTTAAATGGTATCCTCCGGCTATTTCATTAACGATCTCATCCTATTAACTAAAAAATTAAAAGACGCTATTTCATTCGTCGAATAACTAATTTTCATAAAAACATTATTAAATAATCAATTTTGTATTTTTCTACATTATTAAATTATATTTGTATATATATTTGTATGAATTTATTCTATCAAAAATCAAACAAATTAGTAAATTATGTTTTTTACATCCCACAGTTATTAATTTATTTAACTAACCTGCCACATTTAATAAATCAATTAAAATTTAAAATCATAATTTTTTACGCAGTGTTATGTTTGTAATTTATAATTATGTCTTCGATGGTTTTTTTATAATAAATAAATATATGTTATGAGTCTTAATGTTCACTTCAATTGTTATACACTTTTTTTTTATTCTCTTATTGCTGATATGTATATTAATGTAATTGTCGAGACATTCTGCGATGGAACTCACTGCAAATGTCAAGAAGTATACATATATATCTTCCTTCTACCTTTAAAAACTGCATCACGAAGTTATAAAAGAAAATAGTGATATATTCACCTCTTGCGTGTAGAGAAAATAAATTTTAAGCAATAAAATTGTCTTCGATAGAAAATGACATCTTTTATACTTCAATCGACACCTATTTACAAATCGAAGAACGTACTTGAAATTTATTTTCTTGATTTGAAAATTGTAATTTTTTGGTTAAACCTATTGAGCATTTCTATATTCTGAAAAATGTTATTCTCCTTTAAACTGTCAGTAATCATACAAAAGGGTTCAATAATTTTCAAGTCAGGTGTTTGAGAAAAATCGTACATGTAACTTTGCAGCGTCAGGAGAATTAAATCCCTAGTTCTTTCAACATTCCCAAAGTAATATCGTGCAAAGTCGAGTCACCAACGTGTCATGACGTCTCTAGAGATTGCAATATTCTCCTAATTTACAGCAGTACTACGTAAAATGTTGAATTAAATTCGTTTTTACAAGATTGAAAGTTTGAGAAATAAAATTACATTTCAACAGATGCTTTTAGCTTTCTTGCCTCTATTCTTCTTATCGTAGTATGAATAATAGTAAAAATTATTTATTTTATTACCTACAAATGCCCTACATCTTTGGTAAATAGAAGATCATTCTAATGCAGTGATTCAGCTATTCTCTAGAGCTGTAACTTGGCTACTCAAGATAGGGACTACTGACAAATTGCTTGGAAAAGACCGGATCGCCTTGAAAATGTCTCTAAAGGATTTAGAATTCAAAAGTGGTGCCAGAAGATTCCAAGGAGGCAAGACATTTTAGAATCTTCCATATTTCAAAAAAAAAATGTGTGTTCAAAGATTTAATGTTTGAATTCACTTCGAAATTTGTTTCATACCAATGTCGTTCATCATTTCATTCTATTGATTCTAGATTTGAAAAGCTATTATTTTTTTGTGATTATACCATGAAACATCTGGATTTTTCAAAATAGCCCTAAATTTTGATGCGTTATATATATATTCTTAAAAAAAATCTAACGAGATTTTATTTTTTTTTACTTTTATCAAAAGTTGTTTAGATCGTCCTTAGATAGTGTAGAATAACTAGTAAAAAAATTTCAACTGCGTTTTTATCCATTTTTTATTTATCAGACAGACGGTTTGAGAAATTTATTTTAATATTTTTTATCAAATAATGACTACACTATAAAAACGAGCTAGCCCTAGTAGCCAAATCAATGTAAGACTGACGACAGACTTACGTATGCTAGTCTAAGTTTGTCATTGACGTACAGTATGTATTTGTCGTTTTTCTGTCATAAGATTGTCATAAAAAAATTAAACGTCAGACAGTGAATAGCAGTCTGATGCAGAACGGAAACAGACATACGTAAGTCTGACGAAAATTCTGAGATCAGAGTTGGTTACTAGGGCGGATGTTCTCAATAGAGTAATCAACAGCAAAAATTTTTCAGTAAATTTTTAAATGTATTTGTCATTTATATGATTAGTGAAAACACTATCAAATTTTTTTTCTAATTTATAAAAACTTGGTTCAAAAATTGTAGAAATTAATGGCAGTATTTGATATTACTGAACATTAGCAAGCGATAACTCTGTATCGACTGAGTAATAATATCAAAATGTTTTTTTTTTAAACGAAACAATAAAAATAAATTTTTCATAATAAAGCTCATTCGACATTCTGTCATCAAAATATTTTATTAATGTATGATTTCTATTTTTCTTATAAAAAAAAAGTCTGTTACTCTTATCATCTGCTATTATAAAAGATACCTTGTGTATCAAAACACTGTTTTATAACAACAAAATATTTGTACACTTAACCTTAAAATCAAATGCGCAAATATACATTGTGTTATTTAAAAACTATCTCCATGAAGGTTATTATTTATAATTATTTAAAACCAGTATCGAAATGTTTTAATTCATCAGTATCGAGAAAAAAATGTTACTTATAAAACGCAATAATGTTACTCCATGTTATGTAACAAATACTATTCTAAGGTCTGTGAATAGTTTAATCAAAAATACAGACCATATACTGACTATGGTTAAACGTAAGTGATAGTATTTAGTTTTATAATTTAGTGAACGAATTTTATCATAATTTTATTAATTTTGGTGTAGTAAACATAATTTTTTTCTTTAATGTCATAGACATTTTTCTTGTAGACACAATTTTATAATTATTCTAAAATGCAAAATCACATAACAACAGAGGAAAAAGTATGGGATCCTTCAGAAATATTTGATCGTTCAGTTGATCATAAATATGCTGTTATAATTTTAAATCAACCAATTCGTTTACACGAAAGTTTTATTCTACCACTTTGGAGAGAAGGTAAGTAAATTAAATATACTTTATATGAAAAAATAGACTAATAAGGATAATTGGTAAATGCCAGATGAATATGAATTCTTTCCAACTGTGGAAAAATGTTTTAAAAACTGATTATTCAATATTTAAAATATTTATTCATTTTCATTGTATTCAAAATTATTAAAATAATTAGATTTTATACTTTCTGATAGCACAAATCAAAATTACGGTCGATGGAGGAACCAATCGTTGGATGGAATATCTTGGACCATTATCAAATAAAATATATGATGGAAAATGTCCTGATTATGCTCCAGACATGGTTACAGGTGATTTAGACAGCATATTACCTGAAATACGTACTAACTTGGAAAATATTGGTGTACGTATTTACGAAACTATAGATCAGCAGTATACAGATTTTTCAAAAGCTCTTATGAAGTTATCAGCAGAGTGTAAATCTAAGAATATATCGGTATTTGTTATTTTCACTATTATTTTATTCATGTTGTAAAGAATATTTTTAGTTAACTTCTAGAGTTTTTTTATAGTTACATTCAGTATATGTACTTGTTGAAACTGCTGGTAGATTAGATCAGATCATTGCCAATATTAACACATTATATCGATCCCGAGAGTTCATGGAAGACAAAACGCCAGTTATATGTATATCAAGTAATTCATTAACATGGCTTTTAAGATCTGGAGAGCACAGAATAAAAATTCCAGAAAAATTAAGAACATGTAAATCTTGGGTGGGCTTAATTCCATTTGGACCTCAGCAAAACAGTATTTCATCAACAGGATTAAAATATAATCTCGGTATGTACAACAAAATATTTTATTTAAAATGTTTTTATGCAAATTCGATTAATATAAATGTACATATTATTACAAGATAAACTTAATTGTTCCTTTGGAGGATTAATCAGTACTTCTAATACTTATGATGGTTCACCTGAAGTTACTGTCACAACCAATACAGACATTATTTGGACTATGAGCATTGAATCTTTAGTTCCGTTGAAAACTAATTTTACATAGATTTTTATTTTTTACAAAAATTCTCGTACCAATTTGAGGGTTAAAAAATGGTGGTGAATATTATAGTTTCTTCTTTTATTCGAAAGAAACTTCTCCTAGGTGCTCATACTTTTTTATTTTCTCTTGTTTTTGATTTTATCTTTTTTACATATAATTTTAGCTCAAAAGATAACAAATTTTAGTCTTCACTTACAGAAAAACTGAATTTAAGTTGCATGAATTTTAAAAACTTAATTCATTGTGCTGTGTTGAGATAAGTGCAGTTGTGAACTTAAATTTTGTGAAAGACAAAATAAGGGTATATAAACAAATACTTCTTTAGAAAAGTTACTTAATCTAGCTTGTTATCTTTTATTGAGCAATGATCTTTTTTATCAAGGAATACAACCGTCAATATAATATTGTGTAAATTAAAAAATATTTCAGCATTTGAGTTATTACACGTGATAGAATATATATCTTAAATTTTTAAAAGATCAAAGGAATGTTGTTCGTTACTATATATCGGACTTATTTATTATGAGATGGACTTTAAATAAATTTATTTCAATCAACAATACTTTATTATTTAAGCACTTATATACAAGATTAAAACATATCAATGATTTTTTGACAAAGTTTCACTATTAATTATTATTAATTTTTTTTTTTAAAGTACTTATGAACTTAATTTAAAAATAAACTGAGAGGTAGTTATGATTTTACATTTAAAAAAATTTTTAATACTCATTTATGAAGAAAATAAATTCCGTATATACATGTTTCAATTGAAACTTGTATATACTTCAAAATGTTGAAACTTCAAAATTTATGATGTACTTACAGTTAAAACAGTCAATATATTATAAAAATGAATATATCACATAATAAAAATATAAAAAATAAAGAATGTCTTTAAAAAGCTTATGAGAGCTCTAGTATTCAATTCGATCAGCTGTAGAACTGTTTACATTTGCCGTGAACGACTTAAAGAGTAGTGGGGCTCACGACTTATGAACAGTCTATTACGGCCTGCCGACCGGTTGTAATCGCGGGTGTAAACCTCTATGACAGTAAAATAACTTATGTTAACTCGACGACAAAACATCAGAAAATAAATAAAAGGACGTGGGTGAAGTTTGTAGGTGAGATAAAAATAAGAAGTCAATTTGAAGTGCAACAAGTTTTCAAATGCCACGTCGTTTCAATTGTTTGGGACCGGAATTTTTATGACAGCGTGTAAGTTACATTGTAAACTGAATATTTTATTAGGTAAAAGGAGAGTAAAGTAAGACAAGTAGAACAGTGGAACTTTTTTGAGTAATTGTCATGCGCCACTATGTAATGAATTAGTTTAATTAGGCGATAGATGTATTTTTCTTTCAATTCATCTCATAAATTGCTTTGTAACCTTTCAACTCTCTAAAAATATTAACCATCGAAACTCAACTTGATGAATTTATTTTGTATCATTTTTAGTACTTCGGAGACATAATGACAATGTTTTTATTTTGTTACTCTCAATCAACACAAAAGAATTTATAAATAAACTTTTTATCTATAACAAATATAAAACAAATCTTATTTTCATTTATTTCAAACTTCTAGAAAAAATTTCCAATAAATGTTTTTTTTTTTCCATTTCTAAAATTTTTTATATCACAAATATTGAGAACTGTATAGTAAAAATACACAGGGACAAAGTATCGATTCTTTACCACAGTATGAAGGGTGTAAAATGTCTCTCTCTACAATACTAATCAATACCAATATTTCATTAATTGATTAACCGAATTCAAGTTAAAATTGTGTTATTCCACAGATTACGAAAAGTTTAATTTTTTCGTTGTTCATTGACATTTCTTGATTTCGTATTTTTATGATCATTATCATTTTTTATGTGTGGATAGCTATTATGCAATGGCCCCGATTTGTCGTGAATCACTATCGATAGGAGAGTAACTTTTACGTAAGATAAAATTGTTATTTCAATGAACTATTTATGAGATTCTCATGAGAATAATAATAATTAAATTAATTTACAAAAACAACTTAGCTGTTGTAGTTTTCAGTATTTAATTTTTAAAGATTATCCAATTCTTAAAAACAATGCATGTTTCAAATGCCAATCATTGAGCATGTTATTAAAAATAAAGTTACTTAGTATCTTTGGCTCGGACTTTAAATTGTTAAAGAAAGATTGAAAACAAGCCAATGCTTGTGTCAAACAATCAATCGAGCCCCAGAGAAAGTTTTATTTACGAAAATCCCTTGACATATTTAATGCAGATATACTCAAGTTTTAATTCTAAATACTTCTATGCAATGTATCATTTGTCTACCGGAAGCTTTTGAAAACTTTTAATAACCAGGAGAGTAAAGTGTTACATTTCTCGTTTAATGATTGTAAATTAGTCGTATATGAAAAAAGTCTGACAGTATAATATAATTAATCTGTGTTATATTGCGAGATAAATGATGCTGTCGACCTTCAGAAATTACTATTTTAATTACTTCAAATTACAAATTGAAACTTATTTTTCATAAAATTTCCAAACGAATAATCAAATGTTTTGAAGAACTTTAAAACTACAGATTTTGTTGACACATAGAAATCTCTGACTTGTAATACTAGGTTGCAGAAAGAAAAAATGTCACATATGTAGTTGCTGTAGTCCTTTCAATAAATTTCCTTGACCTAACGATTACTTTATTTTCTCATTTAATCTAATTTTATTGATTTGAACAGAATACTATTATCAATTATTCATTCAGTATTTTTATTCTCGATAAAGAACACTATTTAACACTTGAAAATAATACTCTGATAAGACAATATCAAAATAAACTTACTAAAATGTATTTGATGTTTAAAATAATTTTTGATACATCGTTGTATAGTGTATATGAAACTTAAACCATGAAGAAAATCGATACTAAGTCTTAATCTGAGATACACAATACCAAGAATGATTTTTCTCAAGTCATGAATCGAGTTTTATATCAAGATTATGTTATCAGTTGAACTAATTCTTCATGATCTCCAAACTGGTTATCAAAGTATTCCAGTTTGATTTCAGATCTTGCGCTTACTGTTGCATATGTTGATGTATGAGATCATCTACGACAATCAGCTTGGGAGGATGTGGAAATAGTGACATCACAGTCTGATAACAGTTCAACTGAGTTATATAAAACGTGAGCAGTTTTATGAAGATTTCATACCTCTATGAAATATTCATCGCACTCTTTCTGAACTATACATGTATTGCTATGTATTTTTTTGGAATTGGAACCAAAATAATTTTTTATTAACATTACGGTTATTTAACAATAAACAGGAAATACCTGAAGAATGCATCACAATAAATGAAAAAGTTCAATGCACTAGACAAGCCTACAGTACAATAACATATCTTCATCATAGAAAAAAATTTTTTTTTACATTAGGTAAAAAAAAATAATGACTTTTATTATTTATGTTATAACTACAAAATATGTCAAATACTTATGTATCATTCCTTTGAATAATTATAAATATAATTATTGTGGAAAATTATATTACGTGATTACAATAACATTTCAAGTGCCGTTCTAGAAGATAAATCATATATTACCTTAAAATAGTAATTTTGTCTACACAGTTTTCTTGAATTTTATCTGTCGTTAGTTCTTCGTAGCAGTAAACGTGCCAACTGTTGACGCGGTTATTAAGGTCATTCGTCGCTGATTGGTGTCCGAGGTTATTGCTGTTTAGGCATTTTGTACAAGACATTGAAGACGTGGGTCGTTAGCTAATATATCTCCAAGTGCCATGTGTCTACAGTAGTTAGAATTTCTTTGTGTATAATTATTTTATATGTATTATTCATTATCGTGTGAAAATATTTTCAGTAGAAAGTAAAAAAAAAGGTGATTATTTTAATTATCATCAATATTTTATAAAATTTAGAAACCATTAATGACACAAAATATATAAATCATCGTGACTAATATTTCAATGTCACGAATAATCTATGTTGAGAAAATCTTTACCACATTTTTCATATATAATTTTCTAATGTTATTTAAAGTTTATTTGAACAAAATCGAATTAGTTTAGGCCTCTTGTGAAGTAAAGAGGCTTTTCAAAAATTGCATCACATGATCATCATGGATGCGGGTTTTATAATTGTCATGGTTTCAGCATCAGTACCCTCACTAAACGCTCATTGAATACTATGCTCCCCAAAGACAAGGACAGCTATATGTCTTTTCAGCTGCTGTTTATTCATTCGAACTTGCTCAGCTCATGTGAGAAGTTACCGACCTCTAATGTTACTCAAAAGAATTAGACATTGAAAACTGGATAACATGAATAGTCATTTTTTTCTAACAATATTTGATTTCCGATTTATTTACTTCGATAAAAAAATGTTTTTAAATAACTCAATAGCTACATAATTTAGTCATATGAATTCAAGAATATTCTTTAAAAGTTTATAGCTCGTAAGCAAATATTTTTACTGGAGTTTGCAACAATCACAGATAAAGTAATGTTTTATGAGACATATATGTTATATAATTCATAATACTTGATGGTATTCATCAAGAGTGAAAATGATTTAATAAAATAAAAAGAAACATTTTTTTGTATAATTCTATAATATTAGATGATCATACAGATAAAATTCATGCAATGTTTCTTTTTTTCAAGAATGTAAATATTTTATAAAAATTGAAAAATTAACTTGAATTTTTATTTTAATTTCAATTTAAATAATTACTTTCGAAAATAATATTATATTGTATTATTTTTTTTACTAGTGAAATCTTAACTAATTATTATGTACGAATGTTTGTGATATGACATTGATTTTTTTCAACTCGAAGTTTATTTAATGCATACGTATCTTTCGTCTATCTTATCAGCAAAATGGAGGGTACATAAGAGGGAGAAATTCTTTATGGAGCCTCGAGCTGACTGTGATTGTCCTGAGATATGCCCCACTACGATAATGGTTAATACTTTATCGTCATCATTCCTAACTTCATTTATTGTTAGACATTACTTGATTACCTGCGTCAATTATAACTACTTTTGAGTTCTCGGAAACTATTCATTTAATGTGCGAAATTTAATCGGTAAAATTTTTTAAGCAGTGAAAGATTAAAAAATAAGATTCCAAGTCTCGTGCTACGATCTTACAGTCACGTGTTTTTGATTGCATGTTATCTGTCAACTCTCGTAAGTCTTGAACAAGAATTTTATATTTTAGATACTTGAAACAATTACACTAATTTCATTCAATCTTATAAATGAACATCAAATTGAAAAAAAATTGTTTTTACATCCTATAAAACATTTAATTACAATAATAAATCAACTTTATAATAATGTATTTCAAATATATATTTTTATAAATACTCGTAGTACATGCTATTTTTCTCGATTGAATTTTAACACAGTTAATTGATTAAAAAAAATTTTAGACCATGATGACAATTTTATCAATTCAAAAAGTAAGGCATCATGAAAATATAATCTCAATTGATATACATGTACAATCAGATATTATACGTTCATTATTTCATTACTTGTTTGTGAGTTCTTATCAATTTCATTACAAGGACAGAAATAAATTTATGGTTTTTACGTGAGTTATACCAATGAGCACAAATATTATTTTTTACTGTCCTCGGTTTTTAAAAAATTTAACTTTTAAAAATATGTCTGTCATGTGTATCAATGGGTATTACCCTGTTCGAGATTGACAATGAGAAATAAACAGATCCAAATCAAATTAATCAATGTCCGGCAAAAATATTGGAGAGATATTTTTATATCTGGTCATTTCAACTATTAAAAGAATTTCTGATTAACAATAAAGCTACTGTTATTGCAATGTTGACGCCGTTGAAATTCTGTACTTCCTCTTGCCGCGCTCAAAATGTCACATGCTCAGTTAATGTTCTATTTAATCACTCCCTTTGCATTCACCGCAGCCTCGTGACTGCAATCAAGTTTATTAAAAATATTCAATTATTTTATGTTATTCAAAATATTAGTGAAACAAATTTCTATCAATCTTTTTTTAGTTGCTTTTAAAAGTTTCAATGTATTATCATTTATCATTGACGATATCTTTAAATGAATTTATAAGTTATAACATTGATTTATATCAACAATTTTTTGTAATAAGGCATTGAAGTAGATAACGTTATAAGTGAATACTAGTGAAATAAATGTTATCACTTTTTCGGGTAAAATATTTTTTTTTGTTTTAGGGTACAACATAATTCTTTAAAATGGGAAGCATGTTCAGGAGTGAGGAGATGGCTTTATGCCAGCTATTCATTCAGCCAGAGGCTGGCTATCTTTCGGTCTCAGAACTCGGTGAGACCGGAACTGTCCAATTTCGCGACGTAAGTGAATGATGAACAATTATCTTATAACTAATTTTTGTATAAAACATTTAAATTATCAAGAAAATGATTACATTAAATTACATGATATGTTTAATAAAAAAAAATTACTAACTCTTTGTAGCTGAATAGTAATGTGAACTATTTCCAACGTAAATTCGTTAATGAAGTTAGACGCTGTGATGAGATGGAACGTAAACTTCGTTACATTGAAGCTGAAGTTAAAAAAGATGGAGTTCTAATTAGTGAAATCGTTGGGGAATTGCCTAGAGCTCCAAATCCTCGTGAAGTTATTGATTTAGAGGTATATTTTTGTTGTTGATTTACTGTTAGGAAATTCTATTGATTGATGATATTTTTTTTTCAGGCACATATTGAAAAAACTGAGCATGATATCCTTGAGTTAAGTTACAATGCTGTGAATCTTAAAAGTAACTACTTGGAGCTTTCTGAGTTACGGCACGTACTTGAAAAAACTCAAGTATTCTTCACGGAGGTACTTAAGACACTCAACAGGCATTTTCATTAAAAATTATTTCATTGTGTAATCGATATTACCGTTTAGTCGAAGAATCAAGGCTCTTTTCTGTTTCTCGATCAACAGGAGGAGGCTAATGATTCCATCACCAGAGCTTTAATTAACGAAGAGCAGCAGTATCCGAGTACAACTGGACGTGGACGACTTGAGTAAGTTTTTTTTTCATTATCTTTTTTCTAAAATTTTGTTACAAATAAATTTACTTTTAATTTTGTGAAATTTTCAAACTTACACTATTAATATGATTGTAGATTTGTTGCTGGGGTCGTAAACCGCGAGCGTGTTCCTGCATTTGAGCGAATGCTTTGGAGAATTTCACGTGGAAATGTGTTCCTGCGTCAAGCTGAATTAGAGAAACCTCTTGAAGATCCAAATACAGTGAGTTCTATCATGAATAAATAATTTATTTCTGTTCATTATAAATAGTAATCAATAATTTTGTTAACATCATAATTATCTTCTAGGGAAATGGAATTTACAAAACCGTATTTGTAGCGTTTTTCCAAGGTGAACAACTTAAAAGCCGTATAAAGAAAGTTTGTGCCGGATTTCATGCTTCATTATATCCCTGTCCACATAGTAATGCGGAAAGATTGGAAATGCTTAAAGGTGTACGAACTCGATTAGAGGATCTGAACTTGGTCAGTCATATTCTACTATCTATTGCGATTAAATATTTCGTATTATGATTGTAATATTTCCAAAAATATCTTATCCATAGGTACTCAATCAAACTCACGATCATCGTCAACGAGTACTTCATAATGTTGCCAAGGAAATTCCTAATTGGAGCATTATGGTACGCAAAATGAAAGCGATATATCATACGATGAATTTATTCAATATGGATGTAACTAAAAAGTGCCTCATTGGAGAGTGTTGGGTGCCTATTGCTGATCTTGGAGTTGTTCAAAATTGTTTGACTGAAGGATCAGTAAGTATTCAGTATCATTATACAAGCAAAAAAATTATATCAGTGATTGACATGAAGCTCAATAAACTTTTTTTTTTCATTTTTAGCGTTTATGTGGTAGCTCAATACCATCATTTTTGAATGTCATTCACACTGATGAAGATCCCCCAACATTTAATAGGACGAATAAATTCACTCGAGGTTTCCAAAATTTGATTGATTCTTATGGCGTCGCGTCTTACAGGGAAGCTAATCCAGCACTCTATACAATCATCACGTTCCCGTTTCTTTTTAGTGTCATGTTTGGTGATTCCGGTCATGGTAAAATTAAATAGATTTTATCTGACTTTGATATAAAAATTCAACCATAGTACTTAAGAATTAAATCTAATTTTTAGGTTTAATATTAACATTATTCGGAGCATGGATGGTGATCTGGGAAAAAAAATTATCCACTAAAAAATCTGATAATGAAATTTGGAATATATTTTTTGCTGGTCGATATATTATTCTACTTATGGGGTGCTTTTCTATTTATACTGGTATCATTTACAACGATATTTTTTCCAAATCAATGAATATATTTGGATCGAGTTGGGGTGTTGAATTTGATTGGAAGACGTTACATGCAAATAAACATCTTCAACCAGATCCTGCTGAAATAGCTGGATATAAAAGAGTGCCTTATCCAATGGGATTAGATCCTGTTTGGGCTCTAGCTGAAAATAAAATCATCTTTTTAAATTCGTACAAAATGAAACTTTCCATAATTTTTGGAGTTGTTCATATGATATTTGGAGTTTGTGTTAGTGTTATAAATATTGTGTAAGTATGTGCTATTACTTAATAAATAATTGAATAATTTTTTAATGAGGAGATTTAATCAATATACTTATTTTTACGTTATAGACATTTTAAAAAATATTCAAGTCTCCTTTTAGAGTTTTTACCACAACTTTTATTTCTTATCGCACTTTTTGCTTATATGGCGGCTCTCATGATAATTAAATGGATTCTGTACAGTGCAGATCAAAAAGGTAATTCATTCTTATTCGAAATAACTCCAATATTTTTAATCCATGAAAATAATACATTAAATATTTTAGGTACTATATATGAACCTCGTTGTGCTCCTTCTGTACTCATTACTTTTATTAATATGATGTTAAATAATGGACCAAGCGGTAACTCAAGTTCTTCTAATAGCACAGCTAATTTACCAAACAGTACAAATCAAACAACACCATTTTTTGATTGTCCAACATTTATGTATTCTGGTCAAGAAGAGCTGCAAAATGCATGTATATACGCAGCTCTACTTTGTATTCCAGTGTTGTTATTTGGAAAACCATTATATATAGTGTTAAATAACTTTTGGTTAAAGTCTAGAAGACATCAGGTAAATATAAAATTGATATAAAAAAAGACAATAGTCTTAAAATTGATTTTTTTCTTATAGAATAACTCTAATTCTTCGCATGACATTGAACTTCAAAGTAACAATATTCCTTCAAATGGTGAAGCAGCTGGTGCAAGTCGAGGTAATGGCCATCATGATGGCCATGGCGATGAAAGTTTTGGTGATATAATGATTCATCAAGCTATACATACCGTTGAATATGTTCTTTCAACGGTATCACATACTGCTTCATATCTTCGTCTTTGGGCTTTGTCGTTAGCTCATGCTCAATTATCAGAAGTCTTGTGGACCAAAGTGCTTTCGATTGGAACGAAAGCTGTGGGCGGTAATTTTATTGCTTCCATCTATTTATTTATTGCATTCGCGGTGTGGGCGTTCTTCACTGTTGCAATTCTCGTTACAATGGAGGGATTATCGGCATTCCTTCATACACTTCGACTCCACTGGTAAAGATTATAAGTTTTAATTTCCTACTTTTATGGAAAAAATATGAAAATGTGAATTTGCATTTTAGGGTGGAGTTTATGAGTAAATTCTATGATGGTCAAGGACATTTATTCCAGCCATTTTGCTTTAAAAGTATCATTGATACTGAAGATGAAGAAGATTAGTAATACGTTATTCAAGAATAATAGTCTTAAAGATTATTTGCAAATATTGAATTTATTTTCAACAATACATTATTTAATGAAAGGTAACGAAAAATGATATCTAAGAAAAAATAATATTTTGCGTACGGTTTTCAATAAGTACACATTTTTTCACTTGTATAACAGTCATAACGATCCAAGTTTGATCGAAAAACTATATTTTTACAATACAACGATATCAATATATATATATATATATATTGTACTCAAAAGAGAATTAGTTTTTGTATTACGATGAAAATATTATGATACTTAGATTTTTGATACATCATATTAAATGTGAAAAAAATGTGATTATATTTTTATAAAGATGAAAAATTTGCATGGAAAAACATGTCATAAAATACTTAGGTTTTTATTAAAAGTGAAATAAACTTGTATTTGCTTAAATCCAATACTTTGACGTCATAGAATTTTATTTTCATTTTTCAATAAAGTGATACATGAAGATAACGAGTTTCATAACAGATTACGTTACAAAGTAAAATTGTTGGTTGAGATTCAAATAATTGTTTTCTGTTCTAATTACTTTCTAATTTATATATTTTAAATTGTGTAGAAACTTTATGTTTTTCATTTCCTGCAGTACCAAGTCCTTGTCTAATAACAACTGTAAGAAAAAATAAGCCCATAAATTCTACAAAATTTAAAATTTTCAATTTCTCGAGTAAATATTTGTGAATAATTAAAACAGTCATGAGGTGTTCTGAAAGATAGTTGTTAGTTTCATGAATTCGCTTTACGGACACGCCGTTGTCTGCTGTTCAATTACAGAAAATTACCGGTCATTGCCCTTCAATTTTTACTTCATAAAACCTTTCTGAGAGAAATACATACACAATCCTCTGACATGTGTGCAAATTACGGTCGCCTATAGGGACGGATTTTGTTTTCATGAAAGAACAGGCTATGGTTTTAATATAAATCCACCTCCTACTGACATAATGTTAAAATGTTTGCTCCCTTAATCATTATGATTCTAGTTTAGTCTTTTGATTGATTGAAAAAATTTATTCTGAAGGCTGAGTTTATTATTGATGTGAGAAATAATTGAACTAATCAAGAGATATGCAATATTGACTATTTTTACAAAGTGGAATTTTTGCGAATTTTTAGTAGTTATCAGTTAGCACATAAAAAGCTCAAACTTTACAACATTTAAAATAGTATAAATAGAGAGAATTTAATTGTAATCCTTTAATGATGGTTTATTTTATGGCCTTGCGCGCGCTCCTGAAGCAATAGTTGTATACCCTGTTAATATGAGAGTTGAATCAGTCGTTGGCGCGCGTTCTTGGCTGTAGCACGTTCCCGAATATCATTTCAACATCGAATATAATCACATGAAGAGTGTGATCGTGTTTAATCAGGTGAGTGATAGTTTGTTGTTAAAATTCAAACAATAGTATTATGTAACGAGGCATAAAATTTTTTCTTACCAATAGATGTAATTTTGAAGTTTTTTCATCTATATTGATAAGAAATCGTTTATATTATCATTTTTATCCTAGTTCTTTTAGGATATAATTTTATACGATCTAAAAGTCTGTTTAATGTAGAGTGTATATACAAAGTAGAATTTCTATGAATCAGAATTATTATTGATACTGTCTGTAACTATAATTATCTGAATTAGGATGTGTTGTTGGGTAATCTTTTTAATAATAGTATTCTTCTGAATCTTACGAAATTTTTTTTTCATGTTTAGAAGCATTTAATTCAAAATATGAGTAAATTACAGTCTAATGGCATAAAATTCAATAATTAGTTATAAGAAGTACACATATATATTTATATTATTGGATATGGTTTTGCTATTTATTTACATTCGATTAAGACTCAGTATTGCAGTATGACTAATGGATGTTGGTATGCTGAAATAAATTTTGTTTGCAGTTTTTGGCAAACTTTCATGAGATACTATCAACGTTTAAATTTTAATCGATAGTTTCTCTAGTGACTCATCACTTGGTGTATTAAACTCTCTTTGTTTCCCCTCTATTTTATAGAAAACCATTTTTACTCACAATATCAATATTAAAGCTATATATAGTGGAAAGAAACTCTAATACTCTTCATGTGCTCAGAACTTTATAATATGATTGCTAAGAAAATACTAAACCTCAATAAAACTACCAACTGTTTCCATTATATTACTAGAGATTTGTTTTTTGTTGAGAATCTTTAGAAGTTTTATTAAGACCGATAAGCTCCACTTTTACTACAAAATTAAAAAAAAAATGAAAATATTTAACATTGTTTACTAGGTTTATAATTTCAGTTAATAAATGATAGTAAAATCATGTGATGACCATAAGACTTTATGTTAACAATAAAAATTCTAATTTAACTTCATTAAAACTACACCTATAAAGATAATTGAATAGAGTTTAAGATTAATTAATATCAATCCATGTCATATTGAAACTTCATTTATGTCATTATTATTGCTAGTCATCAAGCTTCTTAAGTTCCCTCAATGAGTTATTACCCCAAGTTTAAAATGAATTTAACATTCAATCATTCTGTCGTTATTTTGTAACGTAAAATTAATTTTTTTGATAACATAAAATTTAATCAAAGAATCTGCAATCTAGAGATTCACTATGAACTTCTACTTATTCATTAGTATCTTGTACTGTAAAGTTTAATGTACTGTACATACGTACCTTTATATATACAAATACAATCACTGAACAAACTTATAGGTAGCATCTAAAACCTTGGAAAATGAAGATACGTTAAAATTTTATTTTAACATTCAGACATATTACGATTTTCCTCTATGCTAGGAAGTTTATAATTATAATCAAAGAGTGAATTATCATGTTGCATTAAATTTTTACATATAAGATAAATAATAATATAAATTAAAACAAATAAAAATTTTGCTGAAATGTTTTGTTAGTTTTTATATTTTATATGATAGAAAATAATTTTATAAAAAATATAGAACGAATTTATTGCAAAAAAAATTAAACATTCATCCTAACATCTCCTTTGGAGCAAATCAAAAAATCAATGGTTTAATTGAAAGGTTTTCGTATAATTGAATGAGTAATGTAATTTAATTAAGTCGACACTTCCAATTAAACTCATTTGACTTCATGTAAAGGCATAATGTACACAGATTCTATTTTTTATTTAAACTTGTCTAACTTATCGATATTCACATGAAAAGTAATTAGTTTTTGTTGAGTTATTTTAAAATGACTTTTAAAGTTATTTTTAATTAACGAAAAATATGCTTATCCATTAAAAATATTTTGTTTGCTAATTCATTGAATAAAAACGTTTTTCAGGGAAGTTAATTAATTAATAAATAAGTTTTACAAAAAAATGTTTATTTTATACCTTATATTGAAAATATGTACTTTATATATATATATATATATATACATTTCTTTACACAAGTTTTATCAATTTTAAAATCGATTCTATGATCATAATAAGTACTCATGGATTAATATTAAAAATACAATTTGCCTAAATTATTTTGTGATCTTAATAAAAAACAAAATGAATCACATATTTCAATTCATTAGAGTACTAAATCCTTTGAGGTCTTATGTTTCAACGAAAAATTTTATAAAATACTGTTACTATCCTTAGTAGACACCTTCACATTCGATTGATCAAAAATTTGAATCAGGATCTGTATGTCTACCATGCTATAAAATTTTAATATTAAAATATATCAATTTTCATAACACAAGTGAGATGTATATTTAAAAAAAAATAACAGCATGATAAAAAAATAATTAAGTATAAATATTAATATCACTGAGTCTTTTGTCATTCACTGGCTTTATCATTAACAGTATCAAGCATAACGTCTTTGTTATTATCTCTTCGTCCAAGACAAGTTGTAAAACATGTGTCTCCAATACCAAATTTCTCTCCATCTTCGAGAGTTTCAGGCATCGGTTGACCGACTGTTTCAGGAAGATAGAGTGAGGTAAATCCAGAAATTAAGGCCACTAATCCAAATATTGTTGCGGGGACTCGTGGATCAAGTACATCCAAAAGTAATAATAAAGGTGTGAGAGCACCACTGAGTCTGCAGCACATAGAACCGATACCAATAGCAGTGTTTCTCACAACAGTTGGGAAGAGCTCAGCAGTATAGTTATAAATAACAGCAAATGAAATGGCAATACAAGATTTACCAAACAGGGCAACTGTGGTGACGACTGTTTCAGTACCAGGTAGAGATTCGGGAATAGAAGCTGCAACAATACAACAGAGACCTCCTATGATCATAAAAGAACTGACTAAACAACGTCTTCCAAGTTTATCCATTGTGAAAATAGTAAAAATGTAACTAGGGAGTTCAACTAGTCCACAGAGAGCCAGCATAAGATATGGATTTCCTTTTAGCTGTTCACTGCTTAATGATAACCCATAGTAAACAATTGAGTTAGCAAACCAGTTAAAACACACATTAAGGCACTTTTTTCTCAAATTTGGAGTTTTAAATAAATCTACTGCTCCATATGATTTGTCTTCTTGTCGCACTGATCTCTTGATCTTGTTTTTAGAAACAAATTTAGCAACGTCCAGTTGAGTGTTGTCACCATTCATCTTTAAAGCTTTTTGGACGATAGTAATGGCTTCTTTAGCACGACCTTGAGCCCACAACCATCGAGGAGATTCATCCATGTACCACCAATGACCAATTAATATTGTACTATGAAGAGCATATATTATTTGAAGCCACATCCGGTCTTGAATAATATATCCCCAAAATGCCAGAACGACAAATCCAACCGCGAATAACAATTGAAACAATATACCACATAATGTCCTTTTTGATGGTCCAACTAATTCCATTGTAAGTACAAAACCAGTAATATAAGCACCGGCTGATCCAAAAATTCCATATAGGAATGTTACTAATAAGAAAGAATAATATTCTGGAATTAAAGCAACCAGAATACCTAAGACTAATTGTCCAGTACCTGATATACAAAATATTATTTTTCTTCCATACTTATCAGCTAAACTTCCTAAAGTAACTGCACCGGCGAATACTCCAAGCATGTAAGTCGATTGGGCTACAGCACGTTTCCATTTATTAGAACAAACGAAATTCCATTCAATTGCTCGAGATGATTTATAATATGTTGGGTCATACACCCATTCTGTACAAGGCTTCTCTTCTTCATTAAAAACTTTATAAGTACAATTACTCGAAGAAATGCCAATTTCAGTTAGATCTGTACCATTTATGGATGTTTGATTTATTCTTGGTACGTTATCCCATGTTAATTCTATTCCACCTAGACTCTCTCGTAATCCAGGTACAACACATTTATGATCAGGTACTGCAGCGACAGTTACTAGCGTGAGCATGTGCAGTCCAGCTAAAAGTCCGCTCATCACGTGTAAAGAAAATTGAAAGCCCTGGTATTTGCCAAACTCCCCGATATAGGACATTAATTCTTCAAGATCAGTATCAACACTCGCCATTTTAAGTCACAAATCAAAATGCCTTTAAATGAATGGAATTTAATCAAGTGTGTTGGTGCTTAGGTAGGATGAAACGGACTGCCGGTCATTCGCGCACTCTGCTCAACAGTAGACTGAATAACTCGGTTAGCAACCTCGAGAGACGTTCCCTTACTACACAAGAAATGCTTGAGAGTGTGAGGGAGATATATTAGCTTTTTGTCAGAGTAGATGCCTTAGCTTTCCTTTTTTTCTTTTCTCTTCTATAGTCACGTGAGTAATTTTATCGGGTCTAATTGTATTTTTAGTTTAATGTCCTCATTTTTGTACCATCTCTTGTTATTTCATCACTAGTATACATAAGTGTCATATCACCATAGTCTGAGACCAATGAAATTTATCAATCTGAAAAAATGATATAGATACAAGTTTTTAATCCTATGTAATTTAATTACTCAATGAAAGAATATTTTTAATATTTATATGATAGATAAATGTTATGTTTAAAATAACTTTAAAATAAAAAAAATTAAGAAATCTGAAATTTAATAAAATAGAATAATTTAATGTGCATTGAACTTCTGATTGAACAAACCACATTAAATACCTACAATGTTGGTTTTAATAAACTTGTTATGCATTTGCACTTTGACTCATGGACTTGGCTCTCGTTTTAAATTTAAATTTATAGTGGCTGAAAATATTATTGTGATGATAACGATAATTCATCCCGCAGAATAAATGCAGAGTATTTTTTAATTTCTGTTAATGGAAGATGTCTGCATTTATGGTCATTATATTGTTAAGAGCCTATGCTATATTTCAATGACTGATTACAGTAAAGTGTAGGCAATTAGTAATTGTTTTTATCAAAGTTTCAATAGATCATTCCAACGACATTTAACAAAACATAAATATCGATTTATCATCATCATTTTCTGATGATTTCTCTGACTGTAATTTAATTTAACTTCATTACAAGTAGAGAAAATCACAATTGTAACTATTTTTAATTATAAAAGTGTTTCGATATTTTTTTGTTTATATTTTCCATACTTGCAAATATTAAATTACACTTAGTAGGTTGTTATCGCACATTATTACATTATGATTTTCATTTTTCTGAGCCCACATAGTTTTGCTCAATTCAGCAGAATGTAACTCAATGACAAAACAGGATAATAAAATGAACTCTCTTAAATTAAACGTAAAATATTTAAAAAAGACTTACTAAATAATTATTAATTCATTAAGCAATGATGGAATATTATCAGACAATTGATAAGATTTTCCAGAATATTACTTAAGATTTATCATATAATTATTGAACGAAATTAACTACCTAATTAGAAGAAAACATCAAATCATTTATCGTCATTTCGATAATATATTTCTAACTTAGATAAAGCCAAATGAGAATATACATAATTACCGGAATAACTTTGGATTCTATTTGTTTTTGTCAAAAAAAGATATGTGGTCCTCATTTACAATTTAAGATTATATTTAATTTTATCAATGTCGCTCACTTTATCACAATATATGTATATGTATATTAATAAAATAAACTTTATAGTTTATGAATCCAATTAATAAAAAAATTTATTAGTTAATAAATTTTAACACTTCAATTTTTATAAAGATAATTTCTTAGTGATTATATTAACTAAATGAATGATGTCGAAAAAGTTCATATAAATAATATTTCTACTTACATACGGACTCGAAAAATACAAGAAACGTTAAATACATGTGTTCAGAACACTAGCTTGATAACAACTGTTGCCAGCAGCTGAACTAGTCTACTTTTTCCTTTCTGCTTGTTCATAAATTAAAAATGTTGTCGAAGGTTTCAATGTTTCAACTGCAGTACATAATTGAAGTTGACGCTATAATTAATCAATCATCTAATTATAAAATATTAATAGTAGCTACTTTATTTACATTATTTAATATTGAAAAACTGAAATTCATATGCAGATATTTAGATAAAAATTCGTTTGACCCACCAATCAATAGTTACCTAACATATAATTTTCCTCTTTAGTACATACAAAGATGTCGATAATGTGGTTGCACATGGTTTTTTTTACCAGTATACCGGTAACATGGTTAAAGGCCTTGTAGCTTTAGCAGGAGACAGATGTGACCTATCAAGAACAAGTATTGCTTCAAAATAACTTCCATGCATCTGAGACAGAATGAAGTTTGATTCTTTGACATTATAGACTGTAAATTCTAAAACACAGAGAAGTATTTTTTTTTATTAATATTTATGTATACGTAGATAGTAGTACGTTAGATCTATGCGCTTAATTACACTTTTAGATACTCAACTTAAGTATTAACTTTATTTTGTATGAGTCAATGTAATGGAACTAGAATTCAATAAAAGAACACGTTTACGCTACATTGAAATTTTTACTTTGCTCGAGAATGGTGAAACACGTATATTGATTGTATTCTGCACAATAAAATATCTCCGTATTCAATAATACTACAATGAAATTTAGAACATCGTGAAAAAAACTTAGAAAATATAAACAAGAAATATTTTGAATTTTATAATTTAAAATGTTTTTGTTTCATTTAAAGGTGAAAAAAAAATTTTTATTCTAATGGAAATTTTATATTAGGAAGAATCAATCTGATGAATAAATACAAGATTTTACGCTTATGCTATTAATATACGAGTATCATTATCTAGAAAAACAAATGATATAAATTTAATATTATATACTAACATGATTGAAATTTTTATTAGAAAGGTCATTGGTGTTTACATTAAATCCTTCAGTTCCGTAATGATAAAAAAATGCTTCAAGTTATTTTATATTTGAAAAAAGTTTTATCTCATATTTTATATACTTTAAGGCAATAATAAACTCTGAGTAATTAACAAACCACAATATTAGCAAAATTCAAGTTGATGGTAAATTTAAAACGACCTAAGATTCTCAATTTAATGGTAAAAAACTTAAAATAACAGTATATAGGGAATATTTTGCATTGCTTTTGGTAAATTTAATGACAATTCATTGATGACATTTCAAGTGAAGAATAATTATTTCATACATAACAAAAAGCTGTTAGTACTGTAAATAAGATTCCGCTTCAACCAACCTTATCATGTAAACATGAAAGTTTCCATGATTAAAATGATTGTATCAATTATTACGTTCCATTAACTTTAAATTACAATCATTTAATTTTTTTAAGTTCATGCAAACAACAATAAATCACTATATTTTTAATAAAAAGATTTTTCACTGTAAAATTTTATTGCATACTCAATTCATAATTAATTGGTCAGCTTTCACTTTTTTATATTCAAAGTTACTGACAGGAAAATTTTTACATTTTATTGTTAACTCACGTAATTATTTGAATATTTTACACGTTTTCCTTATTTACATATAAATATTATTGCAACATAAAACAAAATTTTTCTGTTACGAAATTATTTATTCATTTTTATTAAATATTATTCACTTTATTTATCTTTATCATGATACGGTTTAAATTTTTGCAAAAACGATTTGATTATTTCACGAAATGGCTATGACACTGCCTAGAATAAGTAGCAGTAAGCAAATGATTCAATATAACTAAGAGGATTTCAAATCGATCGACCTCTAATATCAACGGTCGCTTCAATGTTTTCTGCACTCATATGAATAAATATAATAAACTGACTGACAAGATAATTCAATAAATTCCAAGAAAAACGATTTTTCAAACTATGGTTAAAATGAACAATTAATTTTATTTATCATCTAGCAAATCAGAATAACTGATGAGAATAAGTCTAAAGATTTAATCAAAGTTTGTAAATAGAATAATTGTTATTATTTCTTTTTCACATTTCTGAACAGATAAAATGACCAACATGCGATATTCTACAATCCTTATTCGTAACTAAAAGAATAATATTTACAACCTTTAAACAAGATTATCTAAAATTTCTATGATTATGATTTGAATTGAAACTATAGAGCAATAAATATTGGTTAAAGAATCTGTGCAATCTGTATTCGTAAAAGAGACGGATACTAAGTGCATAGGAGCATCTACTCATTGCATGCTATCGCCAAGAGGAACGTTGCTGCAACCGGTTGCGGTCGTCTCGTTATCTGATTAGGCGATTTAGTTTACGAGCGTATACTATAGGCAAAATAGCCCAAGGGAGAGGGTGTAGATATGTTAGTCCAAGTGGATAATCACTAGAGTTGACACCCGTTGCATCGATCCTCTTTATACTGATGTTGACTGACATTTATTTTGCATCATATTAGCATTTAAAATAATTATTATTATATTTCGAAAAACTAGCATTTCCATTTTTCTTGGTTTTTCCAACTTATAATCACTTAAATCTTCTCATTTATACCTTACAAGATAACAGATGGGAATTCTACAAGCAAACTTGCGAAATGAAAAACAGTTCTAAAGAGAAAGAAGAAGCAAGTAAAATTCTTTAGAGTAATGCTTGTAGTTATTCAGTTAATAGAAAGTACCAAACACACTTGAGATTTTCTGAAACTTTGCTCACCTTAACATGTAGTTGTACATGATGGTGGTATATCCTGTTCTTGTAAGGATACACCACAATAGCGAAATTTTAGCTGCCCCTCACATTTCCGATTATTCATGGAGAAAAGAGACGATGGAGATGAAGTGTCCAATAATCGACACGAGATTGAATATCATATCTTTCGGATCCTTAAGACTTGCTTTTGTATCCAAGTTTATATTTTATAGATTTCAGTTTAACAACATCCATTATGAAGGTTTTTCTAATTAACCACAATGAAACCCTATAACATCAAGAATTGTTCATAGAGACTAATATTGCAAACTTATAGTTTAATATTAAGTTTTATAGTATAAATAGTAATTTTTTTTTCAACCCCTGCAGATTGAATCTTAATCTAAATTGAATTATTATTGAAAAAAGCTCAAATTTAAATGATGATTATTCATAAAAAGCTAGATTTTTATATTAATTTTTAATATTAATAATAATATACAATGTATACTCCAACATTTAATTGTACAAGGTCAGTTCATACAACTTTAATATTATAAATTTTTTTGTAAAGAGAGCTTTTGAAGTTGTGAATAAAGCTGCACTTTTATTCAATTAAATATTTAGGATCATAATAATAGCTTAAATAGACAATAAGTATCACATACCCAACTATGTTTCTTACATGGTTTTACACATATCATCTTAGAGTATTGAACATTTATGTATCAACGTTTATAAAGATGACTCATATCATTATTATTCCCGATAAAGTGAAAATATTAGTGTTTTAGAACAATACATTAATTCATCATCAAATGGGGTTTTTTTATATCAGCCTATCTCATCATAATGTGATGTAGACCACCTGTTTTTGATGAATTTCCATCCTACAACATTCTATTGTTAATAAGAAAAAAGCTATTAATAATATTATAAAATCAAATAATAATTCAGTCAACATTATTATTTATTCAGTAGTACAATAAGAAGATATGCTGTTATTTTTGAAGTTGCTCTATCATACTAGCAATAACTTATGATTCTAACTACGACTCAAATAAATAAACATTCTGACAACTCATGAAAATTGTATTAATTAATAATAACATCTATGAAATATTAGTCTGAAATAATATTAATATAAATTAATGTATATATAATATATATATAAATTATATTACTATTATTATTATTATTATTATTATTATTATATAAATATATTATAAATATATATATATAATTTTGTTTAAGTGATTATTTAATACTTTTGAAAACTTTCTATTTAATTATTATTCAACATTGATTGTTTTGAATGAATAATTGATATTGATAGCAGGTGCAATAATAAAATTTTTACCTTTATCTTAGAATGATTCTTTTTCACTAAATTTAAAACCGGACCTGACTGTGAAGTTAACATGATCTACGATGATTTTTTCGATGACTACACCAATTTTCATTTATTGTCATAAAAATGAATCATCATCCGGTTGAAGTATAATTATTTGCAGAAAATGATTTCACTACATGCTTCATTGAGTTGTTGAAATATAAAATGATTGAACATTCAGAATAAACTTGTAGATAAGTTAATAAGAGAAAGTCGTACTTAAAAAAACATTAGACGCTCCTTGAATTTTTATCACCACTAATGTGGCCTTCATTATTTTATTTTAGTGTGCTAAAGATTGCAACTGTAAAGTTTCGCTTGAAAAATAAGTAAAAAAGCATAACATTTGTAAACTAAAAACAAAAAAAATTACGTGATAGAGTATTTTGTGTTCTTCCTTGAGCACAATACAAGGCGAATGACATTGGATACTGTACCGGAAGAATCGAGGGTGGGGAAGATGAGAAGCAGCCAGAAACGTATAGGAAATTGTGCGAAGCCGAAGGAGAACGGTCTTGCATGCTGGGAGGTGTCCAGACGTATATTGTCACAGTTTTGTCGTAGACGTTCAAACGATAAGACCTTTTGTCTGTAATCCTTAACCGGTGTTTCTAGCCGGTATAAACTGTTTCCATCGCACTATTGTTTGTAGATTATAGTGAGTATTTAATCGGTCGTGTTTATCAATAGTTAATTTTACTTCGACAATTTAGAACATTGATTGAAAAGGTAATAAATAGTTATCATTTATGTATTGATAAGAGTATTTAATATTAATATGAAGAACAAAATATTATTTGTCATAATCTATTCACATTTGTGTTCATTAGAATATGATATAAACAGAAATTTATGTAAACAACTTTTATGAAGATTTTTCGAGAAGGAAATGATATTTTCGGTCCATTAGTATATGTATTTAATATGGTTTAGACTAGTCTCCAGCATTTATCCTGTTTAAGCCGTTGCTTTCTAAAGTATTTATGTATGTTAAGAACATACTTTTGTGTGATCAGAAAGTCGAGGTGTTTCTTACGTGTTTATCGAACACATGAACCGTAAATAGAGGACAATTACTTGAGCGGAAGGATTTTTATTTTTATTATATGTTCAGTTGACGTTTGATCTAAAAATATTTTTGCAATCTCTTTGTTTTGTTTATAAAAATCTTTTTATCACTAAGCATTTGGATGGAATATAAACTGGATATTCAATAATGAAATAAAAAATGTTTATTCTTACATTCTAAGTATTTTAAAGTGTTAATGCTTGTGTCACTTGGTACCGCTGCTTTCCATTAACACTATAAGCAAATTAAATCTCTGTACAAATGTAGCCCTTATAACACTATCAGTAGCACTTGGTGGTAATAACGTTGAAAGGTTTGATTAATTGAATCGCCGCGTGTCGGGGGATCATAGAAAAACATGTCATCTTCATTACGGATATAAAGACGCTTGAAACATACTTTGCACATTGTTACTCTCCAACTTATTCTTGACACTATCTTTACAGACGTGACAATAATTTTTGATCTTTATTCTTATGTATAAACTAATTTCGTCTTATAATAAGTAAACAATAAATTTTAACTGATTTTGCTAACATTAGCATTATTGTTTCTAAATTTAAAAGGAAACTTTTATTAATGGAAATAGTTCATTGTTGATAAAAACAATTCAAAAGAGTTGAAAATTTAGCATTTGTTACTGATTTAAAAGATTTGAAAGATGAGTCATTGGATTTGAAATAACTAATTAAATACTTGATATGAAACAAAATTAAATGATTTCAGAAGAAGATAATAAACTTTACACTTCTAATTATGTCTGCATCGCGTTTAGCAGTAACTATTTTGTTCACAAGGTTTTGATTTTATCAAACTTACGTTTACTGGGTATAAATGCATGTATGCGATACTGATAAAACGTTCATAATATTCATAAGGATTTTTTATTAATATTTAAAAATATTTTCTGGTCATGAAAAAATTATTATATTTATTGTAGGCTTTCGCATGCTATGACACAGTCTTGTGAAGTTTTAGCAATGATGGATGGTCACACAACAACATTTGGGAGGAAACGAGGCTGCATGATCTCAAGATGTGGTGCTTTCCTTCTTGCAGCGGTCTTTGTTCTTGGAATCATAACTACAGGCTTACTTGTTTATCATTTTGCACCTTGTCTCAACGGTAAATCAAGACAAAATGGTGATTTTGAAGATAGTGCACTTTTGAATTCTGCACGTTCTTTTGCAACAGCAGATATCACCAAGAAGACTGTGGATGTTCGATTGCCCAGGTCTGTTATTCCAGAGTTATATGAAGTGAAACTAATGCCATTTATTTGGGAAGGCAATTTTACATTCAATGGCGAGGTAATAAAACTTAAAAAAAACTTTTACGCTGTTCAATAATTTTCAATACATAAATAATTCGCAGAAGTAATAAAATATCGTTAATTATAAATCATAAAATTAGTTAATATTTGTTTTTTTATAGGTCACTATTTATGTAAATGTTACAAAGGATACCAAAAACATAACACTGCATGCTGTAGATTTGGATATTAATTCTAAAGCAACAACAATAAAAGAGACCAATGCAATCGCTAATGTCAGTGAATGGCTTAAAATATTAGACCAAACTAATGACACTATTAGACAGTTTTATATAATCCATACTGAAGAAACTTTGAAAGCAGGAAAGCAATATATAATTAACTTAAAGTTCATTGGCCACTTGAATGATTATCTTCAAGGTTTTTATCGAAGTTCTTATACTGTGAGTAACCAGACAAGGTAATTAGATTGTTTATTATCTTTTTTAATTTATTCTAATTTAATAATTAATATAGTGATAAAATTTTTAGTTTAAAATGTTTTCAACTTTTAATGAATAAATCCATTAGGAAGTTATTAAAGTTTTATATTTCAGATGGATAGCAGCCACACAGTTTCAAGCAACTGATGCTCGTCGAGCTTTTCCATGCTTTGATGAACCTGCTCTAAAAGCTCAATTTCAGATAAGTATTGCTAGGCCAAGTAATATGACTTCAATATCAAATATGCCACGTAAAGGAGATCCTCAATTAGTGTGAGTTACGATTCATAACGTACTTTAGTCAATATTATGAATGATTTGTTAATTTTTTTATAGGCCTGGCTTACCATCTTATCTTTGGGATCATTATGAACGTTCTGTACCGATGTCTACTTATTTAGTAGCTTTCATCGTTTCTGATTTTGATACATTAAAGGATACAAGTAATACTTTTAATGTTTGGGCACGTCATGAAGCCATAAATCAAGCTCAGTACAGTTTAGACATTGGACCTATGATACTTAAACATTATGAAGACTTCTTTCAAATTAAATTTCCATTACCAAAGATGGATATGGTTGCGCTACCAGATTTTGCTGCTGGTGCCATGGAGAATTGGGGTTTAATTACTTATAGGTAATTATATTGACAAATTACCTGTAAATAAGAGTTACATAATATATTTTATTACAGGGAAACAGCAATGTTATATGAGAAAGGAGTATCTACGAGCGGTAGTCAACAACGTGTAGCCACAGTTGTTGCTCATGAATTAGCTCATCAGTGGTTTGGAAATTTAGTCACACCAAGTTGGTGGACAGATCTTTGGTTAAACGAAGGGTTTGCAAGCTATGTAGAGTATATTGGAGTAGATTCAGTAGAGCCAGATTGGAAAATCCTTGAACAATTTGTAATTCAAGAATTACAAAATGTTTTCACTTTAGATGCGCTTGCGTCTTCACATCCAATATCAGTTGAAGTAAGACATCCAGATGAAATAAATGAAATATTTGACAGAATTTCATATGGTAAAGGGGCTTCCATTATTCGTATGATGAATCATTTCTTAACAACAAAAGTCTTTAAACAAGGATTGACAAATTATTTAACTGCCAAAGCATATAAAAGTGCTGAGCAAAATGATTTATGGGATGCATTGACGAATCAAGCTCATAAAGATAAGGTTTTACCAGATGATATCACAATAAAACAAATTATGGATACTTGGACACTTCAAACAGGATTTCCAGTGGTCACAGTAATAAGAAATTATAAAAATGGTGGAGCATCTGTCACTCAAGAAAGATTTATGCTCCAAAATAGTATGAATGATGCCACAAGTAGTGATTCGCTATGGTGGATTCCAATTACTTATACAACTGAATCTGCAAAAAACTTTAATGACACAAAGCCATCCTACTGGATGAAAGAAAAGTCATTAACTGTGAAAGATTTTGGGACCAATGCCAACCAATGGGTAATATTTAATGTTCTAGAAACTGGATTTTATCGAGTAAATTATGATCCAACTAATTGGCAGTTGATTATTAAACAATTAAATTCCAACAGCTTTAAAGATATTTCTAGAATTAACCGTGGGCAATTAATTGATGATGCTTTGAATTTGGCACGCGCTGGAAGACTTAATTACACAACTGCTTTAGATGTTACAACATATCTTGCTCATGAAACTGATTATATTCCTTGGAAATCTGCCCTTACTGCGATGAATTATCTTGACAATATGTTAAACAAATATCAAGGATATGATCGATTCAGAGTCTATATTCTGAAACTTTTGGATAATGTGTATAAAGAAGTAGGATTCAGAGATAGTCCAGGAGATCAACAGCTTACAGTATTTACACGTGTTGATATCCTTATTTGGACTTGTACTTTTGGACATGATGATTGTGTGAGAAATGCTGTAACACAATTTCAAAATTGGAGAAATTCTCCAGATCCTGATCAAGATAATCCGATTTCTCCGAATTTGAAAAGTGTCGTTTACTGCACGGCCATTCGTACAGGTGGACAAGCTGAATGGGATTTCGCTTGGGAACGTTATCAAAAAACAAACGTTGGTTCAGAAAAAGATTTGCTTTTATATGCTCTTGGATGCACAAGAGAGCCTTGGATTTTAAGCCGATATCTTGAATGGGCCATAACAGAAAATTCAGGAATCAGAAAACAAGATGCTTCTCGAGTGTTTGGAGCTGTTGCTAGTAATCCTGTTGGTCAATCTCTTGTTTTTAGTTTCTTGAGAAATAATTGGCCACGTTTAAAGAAATAGTAAGTGGATCATATTATATTAAATACGTATTCTTTAAATAATTTTTGGCATTATTAAAAAATATCTCAATATCTGGATAAATAGAAAAAAATTTAATTTATAGTTGTGGATCATCAATGCTGGCAATAAACAATATTGTAAAGTCTGCTACTAAAAAAATAAGTACGAAATATGAACTGAAAGATGTAAGTCATTTTTATTATTTTCATTTTTTATGATTAGAAAAATATTAATTTATTACATTATGAAAAAATAACTTGAGAAATGATTTTTAGTTATTGGAATTCGCACAAGAACATGAAAAAGAACTCGGTGGTGTAACACGAACTATCCAACAGTCAATAGAACAAGCTGAATCAAACATTAGATGGTTGAATAAAAATTACATTACTATTCGTGATTGGTTATTAAGAAATACTGCGTGAGTGAATGAAATATGCTTCAGTGAATGCGATGAGTCTGAATTATTCGATTAAAAGTAATAATATTTAATGATTTTTTCATGGGCTCACAACAACTTGTCAAGCTTGTTACAAAATAGTTAAAGATTTTGCATTGTATGTATTTGTAAATATCATAAGAATACTTTTAAGAACATTTTAATATGTATATGAGTCATTTAAATATTGTTGAATAGGTAAAAATTGTCATGATTGATCTGGTATTACACTATTAGTGATATCTTTACGCTAAATCTCTTTATATCTACTTATGAGAATTAATTTTTCAAATTGCATGATGGTTATTTTTTAATGTACTCCATTTATATTTGTAATGATATTTTACATAGTACGGTACGAATCATCGTACGTACTTATTTATAATATATAATTCATTGTTTATTGCAAGCGAAGCATTATATTATGAAATATTTTCATTCATTTTTGAGATCATAAATTTAATATAATTGAAAATTTCATCATACTTGCAAGTATATACAATTTAGGGAATAAAATTGCACTGAGTTGTACTTATTAAAATAAATTTTATTTGTATGTTTAACATAACATTCTTCTTTTGATATTATTATGTAAATTTGGGTATTTGAACTAACGATTAAAATTACGAATAGCATATGTTTCAATAAGGGAATAATTTATTAGACTTAAAATAATTACATAATTAATATTATGATAACTTACAAGAAAATGGATAAAATATACAGCGTTATTGTGATGGTTAAAGTGTTAATTTGTACATAAATAGATAATGCTGAACCTGGACAATTGTCATTATCATTACCAGATATAATTATTTTTTGATTAATTAACCAATTTTCAATATCCGTATAATGATTTTTATACCACTGTCTGTTTTTTGAAGCTATCAAAATAGATTGGTTTAAACTTTCCCTGATGACGTGTAGTTCTTCTTTTTTATTTTGTGCGAATAAAATCAACTGCAAATCATGAATATGATTAATGAGACAGGTATAAATTTATCAGATTTTTTTATTAAACTTACCTTTGAAAGTTGACTAGAAGTAGATATTTTTGAAGCAATATTTATAAATTGTTCACCAACTGGACTCCAACTATTATAACTAGTGTAAACAAATTCAGATAATTAAAATTAATTTAATTTGTATCAGTTAATAATTTATTTCTCTAATAAATAATAGAGCAAACTTACTATTTATATACAGTTGAATAATTTTTCATTAAAAAGTCGAGACTAGTATCTACTCCAAATTTTCCAGAAGAATATACTGATGAAAAAGCCAAGGCAACATTCTGATCACGTATTGAGTCATTAACAGAGAAGATATAGTTTAAATACTTATCGATAGCTGTTTTATTATGTGAACATCCTAGAGTTTGAAGAATTATAACTTTTTCTGATTCAAGGTTTGATGCTCGATATTGTTGCCATAAAAATTGCCAGTCATTATAATCTCCGTACTTCAAAGCTGTACAAAAAACTGCAAGCTTTACGTCTGGAGATAATATTTTGTTAAAGTTTTCACGATAGTCATTAAACTCTTTTTTAGACCAATCGATACAATCAGAATGCTCAAGTTTACAAGTCCAATATAAAATAAGAATTCTATTCAATTTATCAAGCTGAGTATCATTTCTGTGATCTTGAAAACCAACTTTTTGGAAAATAGGTGAGAGTAACTTAATTAAATATTTGTTAAAGCCTGCCGCTATATCTTGACCATCAAATCTGTCGTATAAAAACGAAATACCGTTCAGAAGAGCTCTCCATGGTAAATTGCTTGTTTCATTTGAAAAATATTGCATTCCAGTTAACACTAGATCATATGAAATATAATCAGCTCTTGCTAAATTAAGAAGATCATCGATAATTTGAGCTCTATTTATCTCAGGAATTCCTCCAAACGATGTCTGATTTAATGCTTTCATTATTGACTTCCAAATGTTAATATCATAGTTAACACGGTAAAATCCTGTCTGTTGAACGTTCAGAATAATCCATTCATCTTTTGCATTCAAGATGTTAACACTTATTCCTTTAGATCCAAGCCATAAGTCAGTTGAGGTGTTTGAAAAATCTGGATTTGATTTAGTTGCTATTGTAATTGGAATCCAATACAGTTCCTCGTGGGACTTATTGTTTCCCGTAATGAAAAATCGTTCTTGAAAAAGATTCAATGTTTTTCCAACTCTACTAACTTGAACCAAAGGATATCCTGGTTGAGATGCCCATGAGTCCATCAACATTGTTACATTTTCGTCAGTTCCTGGAATACTTCCTGCTTCAGATACTTTTGTTTGTATTGAAAACCATAATTGGGATGGTGTGCTTGTACCATATTGATTCTGTTTCAAATAAAATTGAAGAGATTTTTGAAATGTTTCTTTACCAAATGCATGTTGCATCATTCTAATAATACTGGCAGATTTTCCATAAGCAACAGAACTATAATCTTTTCCATCATCATAAAGATCAGTCATTTTATTATTCATTGGTCTCATGTGTATAAAGGAATCTTTTAGCAATGCTGTTTGCAATTCATAAACCGTAAATTGTTCCATCAACCTAGACTGTGGTTGGAGAGCATCCATTACATACCATTCGAAATACTGAGCAAATCCTTCATTAAGCCAAACATATTCCCACCATTCACAAGTAACTAAATTTCCAAACCACATGTGTACAAGTTCATGTGTGATTGTAAGTTCCATGTATCTTTTAAAATATGTTGAAGTTAATTTTATGTCTGAAAGTAGTGCGTATTCTCTGAATGTGATTAAGCCCCAGTTTTCCATCGCACCATTAGCGAAATCTGGGATTGCTATCATATCAATTTTTTCAAGAGGATAAGATATGCCAGTATAATTTTGTAAAAACTGCAATGAGTTAAGACCAATTTGAAAAGCGTGTGCTGCATGTCGAAGTGCATTTGGACGAGACCAAATCCGAAAACTACCATTTTGATTTTGAATAGATTTAAAATCTGTTACTACAAAAGCCACAATATATGTTGACATTAATTCAGATTCTTTATAAATATCCCAAGTCCAGTTGGGATCTTCAGCAGGTACTGATGAACTTAAATTCATGTTACTTAGAGAGTTATAATGATTTAATCTTTTAATATTAATTATAAATTTTGCTTTGAGAGCTGGTTCATCAAAGCACGGAAATGCTTGTCGAGCTCCGTATTTTTGAAATTGGGTAGTAGCTAACCAGTGAACACTATTATCATCAGCTACATAATAACTACGATAAAATCCTTCCATTTTATTATTTAAAATTCCAGAATATTTAATAGATACAATTAATTGTGATTCAGCTTCAATGATACTTTTTAAATTGATAATTAATTTATGAAATGAGCCGAACGAATAATTAGATACAGCTATAGATTCATTTGCGTTTGTCAAATGCACTTTTATTTCTGATATATTTAGTTGATTTGAATGTAACACAATACTTGATGTACTTTCCATCACATTTAACGTCATAGTTACATATCCATCAAAAGTAAAATTACCTGGTTTCAAGTAAGGAATTAATTGAACATGATATTTAATTGGATTAATATTTTTTGGAAGGCGGTAATTTACATTAGAATACGTAGCATTCAACCATTGATAAATTCTCGGTCGATAGATTTCGAATGATTTTATATCATCACGAGCTTGAGTAGCGTATAATTTTAATGTTTCTTCTAGTGCTGGAAAATGTTTTCCATGAATTCTTATAAACTGTTCAAATTTTAATAATAATTCTTCTGTGAACAAATAAGATGACAGGCCTTTTAATATACTTTTAATTGTATCATAATCTTTATAATAATTACATACTTTTTTATAATTTGCAGATAGAAAATCTAGAGTCTCACTTGTTCCTAAAGGTCCTGAACAATAAATTGAAGAGAAGACATTTAAACTATCTTGAAAGCTTATTCCAGAACCCTCAGTAATAGCACTTGTTAAAAATTGATTTATTTTGTTACGATCCATTGTGCATCCCAGTGAATGTACAATTACTTCTTTTTCATAGTGGCTATTGGTTTGTAAATATTTATTCCACAGAAAATCCCAATGCCCTGAATCTCCTGATTTTATTGACGTACAGTAAATCGTTTTACGAAGATCTGCCGGAACTGATTTCAATGCATGGTATTTCCAATCATTAAATTTTTGAATGGCATACAGAAAACAAGACGAAACATTTAATTTACATGCCCAATCTATTACGTTGATTTGTAAAAGTTTATCAAAGTGACTAGTATTGTTATTGATAGTTAATCCAAATGTTTTATATATTGGCAGTAAAATTTTTGAATAATGTTGTTCAAGTAATGAAGTGTAGAAAAAATTATTAGACAATTTTCTGTATAAATATTCAAAATTATTAAAGGCTGCTTTCCATGGAAGATAATTGGTTTCTTGAGCCAAGTACTGTGTAGCTGATAAAACTGTATTATAATCAATGTATCCACCTCGTGCTAAGTTAAATAAATCATCAATTATTGCAGCACGATTTATTTCATGAATATTTTTATAGTTTTTTCCATTGAGTATTTTAATTATTCGAGACCATGAAGCATTATCGTAATTCACCCGATAATAACCAGTTTGTTGAACATTAAAAATTATCCAATCATCATTAATTGTTTCAATGTCGATGACATCTTTTGGTTTGTTTAACCAATATTTTGGAGTTGTATTTGAAAAGTTAATATTTGAACTTTTGGTCCAGGTGATAGGAATATGCCAATAATAGCTAGTTGAATTATTATTTAGATTATTGAGTAAAAATCTCTCTTGTGAAAGCTCAGCTTTTCTTTTATCAATCTTAACATGAATTATAGGGAATCCAGCTTGCATTATCCAAGAATCTATAAAAGTTTTTACAGGATAAGGTAATTTGATTCCTAAGATATCTACTTGATATTGAAGTGCTTTGTATAAATCATCAGGTTTTGAACTTTGATTTTGTCGATCAATTAAGTAATTATTTAGTGCTTTGTAAAAAATATCAACTCCAAAAACTTTCTCTATCATTCGCAAAATGCTTGTACTTTTCATGTAAGTAATTGTATCAAACATGTTTTCGATTTCACTTGGACTGTGAACGTCATTGGATATTGGATGGCTTGATAACAAACTGTCAACCGAAAATGCTCTGTGCAACTGATCTATTACTACTTGCATATGTGAATCCCATGTTGGTTCAAAACTTGATACTGCAGCATATTGAAAGTATTGAGCGAATCCTTCACTTAGCCATATATCTTTCCACCAATGAGGACTGACGACATTTCCAAACCACTGGAGAGCTAATTGATGGGCAATTGTATAGGTAATTTCTTGCTTAGAAACAATATCATTATAATTAGGATTATATAGTATTCTGGACTCTTTAAAGGTGATGAGACGCCAATTTCCTATTGCTTCAGAAAGCATATCAGGAACTGCTATAATATCTAATTTTGATTCATAGCTTTCAGCAAAAAACAGAGTAAAAAAATCTCGAGCTTTTACACTAACATTTAAGGCATACGTTGAATATTCAATAGCCTGAGGTTGAGCCCAAATATTTATATTTGCATCAGATACACATTGAAGATTGGATATAATAAATGCAACTTGATAAGTTGATAATTTCTTGCTGACCTCAAATTGATCGGATTCTTCATTAACATCACTGAATAAATAAAAATTTTGTCTCATTAATAGAAGTTATTACAAATTATTATATAATATTACCCAGTAAACACTGTAAATGGTCATAAAATATTTATTACATCACTTATGTGACATATTGCAATATAGTTTCTATCTTTAATATTGTAAGATGTTTCTATTTTTGGAACATAAGTAATCACAGTTAATAAAAGCAACACGATATTGTTTTCTTTATCTCAAAAATTAGTTGGTATGTAATCAAAACATATGTGATTGTTCTAGATATAAAACAAATTACTTCATTCAAAGTAAAACAACTGTGTTGATATTTTTTATTTCAATTTTAGTTGAAATGCGCTATTATTGTCTTTTCATATAAATAACAAATACGTTTAAATTCATAAATTTCAAATTTATTTTAATATTTTTTAATTCAACCGATTTATAGTAATCGGTGATTTTTAAACAATATTTGATAATATCGGCGCATAGAGTGATAAAGAATAATGATATATTTGAGATAATACTAATGGATAATTTTTTTTCCAATCTTCAATTTGAGATAGAGTTATTAATTGAATGACATGATAGGAGTGTATATCTGAGTCAGATTGCCATTACTTTCTAACGTTGAATTTCCTGACGAAAATCTAACGTTTGTCTGCTTCAGAAAAACGGCAGATACATTCGTAAATGACAAACTTATGTCGTCATAAATAGGTCTACCGTCAGTCTTACGTTGATTCAATTTGTCAACAAGAAGTATGCATTTATTTTGTCAGCTAGATACCTATAACTTCAAGAATTGAAATGAGTTTGTAATAATTTGATCTGTTTTAACAACAAAATTAATGTATTATGAATACACGTTTTTCATATAAATTAGTGAAATTTCATTGTTTTAAAGTGATTTTCAATAATTTATTTTTAGACAGTAACGACGTTATAAAACGTTAATGTTATATATGTATTATACAAGTTATACTGCTTTTATGTTATTATATACTAGTTTATTCCCGCGATTTTGTAAAATTAATGCACAAAAGTTCAAAATATGTTATCTTCTTAGTTGATTAAGAGAAGCTCTCATTCGTTGTAAACTATCAATGTGTTATGATTACGTTGCATGATAGCAAATTCATCAAGGAAAGTTTTAAATAATAATTTTGTAGTTTAAATGTCCCAATTCAGGATGCAAAATACTTTGTGGTAGAATTGTAAAATAAGTTATAATTTGGTGTGTGTTAATAATAGATAAAAAAATTCGAATTTTATCGCGAAATTCCATTTCTGCTCGTTTACAACACATACAATTGTTATGAACTAGAAAAGTTAATTTCTATTCATATTACATGGAGAGAGTTTTTTCACTAAATATTAGTGCAATTGTTCGTTTCGAAATTTAGGAGTAAGAATATTTTTGTTCAACAGTGAATTTTGGGTTGTCATAAGTATATAGATAGTATATTGTATAGATTTCGTTTTTGAATGTTTATGATAAATTCAATTGGTATGGACGAAAAAAATCCGTTTACATTGATGAACTCTTTTTTAATAAAAGAAAAAGTTTGTCGTTGAAAACGCTCGTATATATTGCATAGATTTCATTTTCAAATATTCATAGTAAATTTAATTGTCATAAAACCGTTAATTGTTATAAAACCGGAAATGAATTCTCTTTGTGGATGAAAAATGTATTTGTTATAAATAATCAAAAAATTAAATCTTATGATGGAATTTAAATTTTTTTCTTTACATATTTGTTATTTAACAAACATAATGTTGTAAACAGTTCAACTTAGACTTAAGGCTGGGCTGTAGACAGATTTCCCCCTAGAAAGTTCCTAGCAAATTTTTCTCTACAAATGACGGCGTCAAAAATGGATGAATTTAGTTAATTTAGGACTCAATCAAAAGCTTATTTTATTCTTTACATTGGAGAAGAACAATATAATCACATTAATTACTTTATTATTATTAAAAATAAAGACGAAGATATGCACTCATTTTGCACTAGATTTTAGACGTGTCATGGTGGATATGCTGCCATCGGTTGTCAACGAAATAAGTATTTATTTTACAATATCCACTATACTTTTACTGAAAATCGTTGTTTTCTGATGTACTTACTATCGTTCAAAATGTTTAAAAAAACATTTTATAATAAAAAAAATGAATAAATAAAACACAGTTTCGCGAGAAAATTCCAGGTGATTATTCACAGAATCATATTTTTTTTATTCTTAATAGGTGGCGCAGCAATGGTCTCTGAAAAGCATGGAATGGTTATCGATTTTTACGACAGTGCGTATTAAGGCTGGGCTGAAGTCAGAGAGGCGACTGATTCCCCCTATCCAAATACATGGGATCGGGATATTTCTAATTTCTTCGCCAATTTACTATTATTTCTATAAAATTAGGTACCAAATTACAGAGGAATTAATGCCGGACTGACGTAAACAACAATTTTTTGTATATAGTGAATATTTTTATTAAAAAAATTAGAGAGAATAATGAAAAAATTATGAATTGACTTGCCGCGCTTAAATTCCAAGATGGCAGCCACATCATTCAGATGAAAAATCACTAATTATTCTATTTTTATACGTTTTTCGCCCAAAATTCGTGTTTGCGTCAGTCCTTGCCACCTGTCTGAATGTCAAAAAAATCAATTCATAGTATAAAATTGAATAATTTAGAAATAATTAGAAATATTGTATTCCAGATGATATTCTTCGGTAAATAAGTTTGAAAAAATTCTGATAGGTGACAGCATTATGCTCGCAGATGTGGGGAACAGGTTGTACCCAACATAAAATTAAGTCCAATTAGTAACAAATTATTTATTTATAATCAAACTACTACTATTGTTACATTAAATTAACATTAATTGCACGCGATGCGCATAAGATGTACGTTAGATTCAAAAACTATAGTATCATATATATTAAGGTAGAAAAGTGGGGGAAATAAAGGCTGATCCCCAAAGTACCCTCCTCCAAGTAACGGAGTTAGGGCGCAAGTTTTGAAAAGAAAAGAAATGACAAAACAGGATTCTTAAACTAACAGTCTTTAAATTGCAGTTGCACTCTTTTTTTCTTTGGTCCAGGATATGTCCGAAGTGACGATGAGGTAGCTTGACTTGACGAAGCGTTGACTGATGATTGCGGCTGTACTTGAAACCCAAAAAGTTCCTGAGTACTCAAATGAGCCGGTTTTAACCTCTCAACGTTGACATTAGATTCTCGTCCATTAATATCCAGTGTAAACACTTTGTCACTGACTCGATTTAAAACTTTAAAAGGACCGGCATATGGTTGATCGAGTCCTTGCTTGGGAGCGTCTTGCCGTACGAACACATGTGAACATGTATAAATATCTTTATAACAAAAGGTATTTGTTTTGCAGTGATGACTTGCGGGCGCAGGTTTCAACTTTCGCATATGAATACGAAACTCTTCCAGAAAGATATTTGGATCTGATGGCGGATCTTCGTGGGTAAAAAATTCCCCAGGAATTCTCAAGGTTGTTCCATACATGTATTCTGCTGTAGAAGCTTTAAGATCTTCCTTGTAACAAGTTCGTAGTCCCAGAAGAACTGTAGGCAAGATAGCTACCCATTCCTTAGTTTCATGACAGCGTATAGACGTTTTCAAGACTCTGTGCCACCTCTCTACAAGCCCGTTGGCAGCTGGATGATAAGGTGTAGTACGAGTTCTCTTGCTACCCACTAAACGAGTCATTGCCATGAATAGTACACTTTCAAACTGCGTACCCTGGTCTGTAGTTATTGTCTTTGAGCAACCGTAACGAGCTATCCAGGCTGTGAAAAATGTCTTGGCGATGGTATCTGCAGTAATGTCTTTAATAGGCACAGCTTCAGGCCATCTTGAAAAACGATCCACCATTGTTAAGCAGTATTTGTAGCCTTCAGACTCGGGCAACGGCCCTACAATGTCAACGTGAACATGGTCAAATCTTTGGTCAGGTTCTAAGAAGGTCGATGGTTGAACGTGCACGTGTCTTCCAACTTTAGAGCGCTGGCAGGGAACACAATTACGAGCCCAGTGGGTTATATGTTTGTTCATATGCGGCCATACATAATGTTGACAAATTAATTTACACGTGGCTCTTCCACCAGGATGAGATAGGTTATGGAAAGCTTCAAACACCTGCCCTCTAAAACATTCAGGTACATACGGTCGAATTTCTTCTTGAGAAACATCACACCACATCACTTTATGCTGCGAACCAAACGTAAGCTTTTGTAGCTTTAATGAGATCGTTTTGTCGTTCAGGATATCTTTGAGTTCCGGATCAGCAGCTTGTGCTTCGGCTAAGGCATTAAAGTCAATGATAGTAGGCAAACGAAGTGGTTGATCTGAGCTAGCAGCATCTATTCTTGAAAATGTGTCTGCTACAATGTTTTCAGCACCTTTAACAGTCTCTATTTGTGTAGTAAACTGACTTATGAAGTTCAGCTGCCTGGTTTGACGTGGCGAAGCCTTGTCTGACCTTTGCGAAAAAGCATGTGTCAAAGGTTTGTGATCAGTTCGAATTACAAAATTATATCCTTCTATCCACGGTCTAAAAAACTTCACAGCGTGGTATATTGCCGTTAGTTCTCTATCATACACGCTATATTTAACCTCTGCTGGTGTCAACTTCTTGGAGAAAAAACCCAGTGGTTTCCAATCTTCATTGTTGTTAGTTCGTTGTTCTAAAACTGCACCAACTGCTACATTAGATGCATCAGTGGTCAGTCGGAGCTGCGGTTCACGTGCTGGATGAGCTAACAGAGCCGTCTCAGCGAGACTGGCTTTGCATTGTTCAAAAGCTTTGAGGGCTTCGTCTGTCCACTCAACTGGTCTCATGTCTCTTTTACGAACGTCTCCTAGGAGAGCATGAAGAGGAGCTTGAAGAGTTGCTGCATTTTCGATGAAACGACGATAAAAGTTTATCATCCCTAAAAAACGACGAAGATCTGAAATGGTTTGAGGTTGTTTGAATTCCTTGATG